CCGTATAACATTCTGGAGACTGCAACGAACGTCCAAGGGGAGAATAATCATAAGACTGCCTTGATAGATAGCTACTTATATGCGCACATGAAGTAATCAATTACTTCAGAGATCGCAGAGACATTAGAATCCCCAATTAAAGAGGAAGAGATCACTGTAGCTATTAAGGATTCTAAGCTGGGTAAAGTTTCAGGCCCTGATGGGTTCTCTGCTGGATATTACAAGAAATTTTCCTCTACTCTAGCCTCTAAATTAACAAAAGCGTTGAATGCTATTTTGGATGGAAAGGAGTTTGGGCATCGTTAGCATCGACGATCAAAGTCCTGTTGAAGCCTGGAAAGGATACTGAACAATGCGGTAGCTATTGGTCTATTTCGTTGCTTAAAGTCAATGTAAAATTATTTACAAAAGTTCTTGCCACCAGACTGCGTACCGTTTTATCTGCACTAGTTCATCTAGATCAGACAGGGTTCATTCCAAACCTGGAGGCCAGGGATAGCACACCGAAATTATTCTAAATACACCAGGTTAGGAAGAGGAATGAGCAGATGATTCTATCCACAGACACAGAGAAAGCCTTCAGCTGTGTTAACTGGTCATTTATGCTGGGTTTTGGAGACAATATGTTAAAGTGGATAAGGGCCTTATATAGTAGTAAACCATCAGCAAAGGTATGGGTAAATGGCGCTCTTACAGCTGATTTTCAGATTCAGAATGGAACAAGGTAGGGATACCCACTTTCCCCCTTGCTGTTTGCGTTATCACTTGGAATCAGAAATTAGATATGTTGTTTAAGGGAGAGCACAAAACGCTGGGATTTCTTTTCATTATGCACAATCAAAACATTATCTGATGCTACCCCATAAGGAAAAGCTACATAGAAATTTCTCCTGGTTTGAAGACCTCTGCGTGAGGGGCATAGGATTAGATGACACATTCTTGACGCTATACCAATATTTGTTGGTTGGGGCTAGACAGGAGAGAAACACGTTTCGGAGACAATTGGAGGGGGAGCTAGGTAGGACATTTTTTGCTGCACTAGTGGGAGAAATGAGGATACGTAAAGGTTGTGAGATTTCCTTTTAGACATAACATAGTGGTAGTAAATTTGAGTTCAAGCATTTAATAGGTTTTTGCAACACACTTTGATCTGTATGGCAATATACATATTCCTCAACAGCATAAACAATGATGAAGAAGATCAATAGTGTGATCAGGAATATAGTGGAAATAGAAAAATAGGAATATAGAAATGAAATGGCACAATGGCTTGTTAAAAATGATTGGATTTGACTGTGATCTACCAAATGGTGTTATACACCATTTTATTTACTAGTGGGAGAAAGTTCTTCTATGGCAGTATAGGAGTTCTATTAATTCCCACTACCAGGAAGTGAATTATAAACAGCTTTCTATGTGGTATAGAACCCCGGTCCTCATGCACAGAAATATTACTGTAATCTCCGACAATTGCTGGAGATGCCAAATGAGAAGGGGAACCCTGTTGCATATTTTGTGGGAATGTCCTATTTTAGCTCCTTTCTGGACAATAGTAAAGGTGGTGACTGAAATATTTGGAAATGTGGTACCCTGGAGTGCTGAAACAGCCCTGTTACACTTGGCTCACATGTGTAAAATCAATTTTGCAACATTTGCTCTATGCTGCTAAAGCTCGGATTCTATCCCCTTGGAAGACAGTTGAGATAGCCACGAAAGAACACTGGTTTCAGAAAGTTGAGGCAATTTAAACTGCGGAAGCTGCACATGCTGCTTCTATCAGTATAATTGACAAACACGTAGAAAAGTGATAACCATGGCTTGTTTATAGCAGAACGAGAGGGAGGGCATCGGGGGCGTGGGTTGAAAGTGGTAAAGAGTCAGGAGGATTATTGGTGGGAGATGCCTACTTTGAGATCAAGTCTACTATTTGGCTAGTTTTATCTAGGCGTTTGTTTTTTTTCTCCCTTTCCGCTTTCTGTTTTTCTAATATGTACATCTTAGCGATATTTTGTCATCCCAGATATGTCTCATTTATATTTGGCCTAGCCTATGTACGCACATACGATCCATGGGATCCACCTACACAGTCCCCTCTAATGAGACAATACAATGAGGTTTTCTTTTACAAAATGAGGAATGGAGACATTGAGATGGGGCCACCTTGCTAAATAAACTGTTAACGGGACACACTTCAATATGATAATAGTTTGAGTAGATTTCCTTTGTTGGAGAAAAGCATAGTATTTTTCTGCATTACATTTGGCTCCTTGTGATGTTATTATATCTGTGTAATAGAAACCTGCGTAATGACTTTCCAGTATTTTTCTTTTGTGGAAATTTTTAATGAAAACAGATATATAAAATTTTTTTTGCAACACTCTGAACAAACTTGGTCTCCATAGCCGTACTCTGCTTACTTCTATCACCTCATGTATTTAAGAAATACTATTCCTACCTGTTTGAGAGTTAACCAGTAGCTCTCCCTAAGACACCTTAGTAAATCTTCATTTTATAATGGCCTTGAGAGACTACAATTTAACTCTTTTGACTCATCTTTTTGAATGGGGATATTGCACAATATTTTTTGTTTGTGGTGATGATTCTGGCGAGGGAGGGAAGAAGTTACCCCCTTAACCCTGTGTTTATATAATATAGACAGACTAATATATATTTATATATATAAAAATATAAAAAAGGAAATACGTGGGTCTCTTGTTCTACTTTGCTTCCAATCCAACAAAGAGTGGGGAGGTGTTTATTTTTGTTATTAGTCCCTTCATTTGCATGTTTATTCTGACAACTGACATTCATTAAGAGTTTTACTTTTCCATTGATGTCATCCAGCATATCTTGTGCATTTCATCACAACACTGTTTAGTTTCTATTTCAGTATGGCTACTTCCAATCGCAATAGAACCCATCTTTAAAATTTTCCTGGTTGAAGATTCTAGTTTCAGGAATACAAATGGCATGCACGCCCAAGGTGCAAGAGTCACTATAGAGTGACAGTGACATGCTGCTAAGAGTTAAGAACTGCTGGCAAAGGCCATGGAGCCAGACTAAAGCACCACACACACACCCTTTGTTATAAGGAAAAGAAGCCCATATGTATAACTTTCAAATAAGCTCTGAGATAGACGGGTCGAGGTTGACAGTCACTTAAAGCTTTCTCATTTAAACAACTCAAAGATTTAGCTTTATGCTTAGCAGTGATATTCACTAGTTAAGAGAATCATCTTTCCCCACTTTGAACCTTCTTCATGCACGTCCATAAAAGATCTCTCCATTTGTATTCTCAAACACCTAGGGATCACATTATCTGGGAGACACTGGTGTAAACTTGAAATCTCATACATTTAGTCTGCATTTTTAAAATTAATATCAAAGCATACTATAATCTGTACCAACATAACTGGTTTTCTTTTCGGTAAAATTAAATCACTAAAACATTTCTCTTAAGAAAAAAAAAAAAAAAAATTGAAGCATAGGAGGATATTTCTTTCAACTCCACTAGGGAATTATTAACCATTAGTAACAAAAAAATAAATAAAAATGAAATAGTCAGCACTGACACCATGTCTATAAAAAAAAAAACGTTCAATAATGCCATAAAGCAAAATATTAACAACTGCTGAAAGGCACACTCTAAATATATATTTGTTTCTATACAGCATTTACCATAAGACCAAGTAAAGCCATTACAATTATTTAATTTTATGTATGAGTAGATACCTCTTGTTTTACTTTGTTTCAGTACAAATCTTAACAGTAGAATCATTGACAATATTAACACCTAGTTTGCTTTTCAGCTGTTACCCAAGTATAACTGCATCTGTTTTAGACTTTTGCAATCTATAAACATATTTTCAAACCACATATAGATTACGTAACATGCTTTGATAATTAACATGCAGTTTTGAAGTGGACTTATATTGAAAGATGGGTCAACCACATTGAGTCAAAAATGGAACCTATATATAATTCAGGTATCCAAGAAAATTCACCCTCAAAATAATATACTAATACATAGTTGTCCACTACAAAAAATAAGATACTGGTCAGATTCTTAATTTGGAACTAGAACTAGCTAAAGTTCCAAAGAGGAACAAAAATAATGCAAAATAAATAAATATCAGGCTACAGTCTGCCTCAAGTGAAAGATGATACTGTTTCTCCAATGTCAACTTATTAAGCTCAATAGTTAAAGCGGATCAGCAAAAGTGAATGGAGGCCCAACCACTACAGCTTGAAAAAAAAAAAAACTATAATGAAGTACGATGTCACAGACAGGTCAATGAATGAGGACAGAGCGTCCAATTAGCCAACATTCCAATGTGCTAGTGCTATCGGGAAACTAGAGTGTTTGAACAGACCCGAAGTCCTGAAACCGTAGTGTACTCTGATCTTCAACACTCAGCTTCGGAACGGGCTCCCCTGACGCGCGCGTTTCGCCCACAACATTGTTTTGCACACACCATTGGATGTAGGTTTCTGAAAACTTTAGAACAGAACCTCATCTTAGATATATTGGTTCCGATTTTAATATATTTATTTATTTAGCATTATTTTTGTTCCTCTTTGGAACTTTAGCTAGTTCTAGTTCCAAATTAGGAATCTGACCAGTATCTTATTTTTTGTAGTGGACAACTATGTATTAGTATATTATTTTGAGGGTGAATTTTCTTGGATACCTGAATTATATATAGGTTCCATTTTTGACTCAATGTGGTTATGACCCATCTTTCAATATAAGTCCACTTCAGAACTACATGTTAATTATCAAAGCATGTTACATTTAATTTTATTATTACTAATAAAAGTTAAGTTTTAAGGGCACTCATTTTCCTATTTTTTTCACTATTCTTTAGTCTATAGGGTAAACCCCTTTTCAGCTTCCCTTTTTGTACTTATTTCACATATAGATTACACTCTGTATTGCAAGTGCTCACCCCAGGTAGAAGTACCTGCAAGTACCTTACATTTCAGGACTTCTAGAAGCCCTCTTTTGTAAAAAGGACAAAAAATAAACAGTCAAAAAGCAATTACCATTTTCTTGCATAATAACCACTTCAATAAGCTAAAGTGGCTAAAGTACCTAGAGTGCCCGTTTAAAGTCAGATGAGTCCTTGTATATTTTTCCCCCTAATTAAGCAAGTGATGACAAAAACATTGAGTATGTTAAAAAGGTGTCAAAAATTACATTCCTCCCATTGCAAAACGCTCTATACCCACTACTACAGTGGAGCAGAGTATTTTTCAAAATATTCTAGAGCCATGTATTTCAACAAAACTGCAATTTAATTTCAAAAAAATGTGTTAAAATAGATATCTTTACAATAATTTCTGACAAAGACTTGTGTTAGTATACACAAAAATGATGCTCTCGCAAATGTATTTATGAAATGTACATTTGTATTTTTTTCAATTTAAATACTCCTTATAAACTGCACTGAATCTGCATGTTGCATTTATTAAATACATTAAAATCTGCAATGTAACAAAACTTGTTTTTTTCTTTTGTATACGAAATTTATAACACCATTTTAAATGAACAAAAGATGGCTCACTTCAATTTTGCTTGCTTTTCTTATTGTATAACTAGTGTGCGACACTAGCTCATCTCCACCCACACCAGCAATTTGCTCTGTTTATTGGACGTAGTTCACAGATTACATTTTACAATAAGAGTGCTGGACGAATAAAAAACAAAAAAACAAAAAAAAAACAAAAACTGAGGTACGAAAGTGGTTCAAGATTATAGATCATGCAGATCATGCTATACAGCAAAAATAAAAAATGTGAATGACAGAACACTAAATAAAAATACAGAAAATGTGCATTGTAAAATAATAAAAAAAAAAAATTACACAGCTTTGCTTCTTTGGTTACAAAGTAGGTTGAACAATTTCACAGTTTTTTTTTTTTCTCTTAATCCCACCCCAGAAAAAATAAAAATAAAACAAATTCTCTTAAAAGCATAGCAATCATGGCAATTTTTCCCTCTGTCAGAAAGAAGATAAATGAACAAAGTTTTCTTCATCAAAATAGCTAATCTATCATTTATTTTGGAATTGCGACTGTTGCTTTCCTGTACAGGTGCATTATGGGTTTATACTTACACACTTTACAACATTTACATTCAAACTGGGGTCTCTACTTTTGTAAAATAAATACCTAAAGTATATCTGCTGTTAGTGTTCGATATAGATGCCAGAATACTTTTGCTCAGTTATTGCCTAAATATTACACTTCTTGAACGCAAATCCAGTCTATCAATTTTCTTGCTTTTTACTGATAATTACATTTATTTAAAAAAAGAAAAAAGGAAAATAAAATAAAGGTTTCTGTGACATTGTTCATACATATTATGAAAATAGCAGCCCTGTAATAAATAGAAACACAAACATAAAACAGAGGCAAATATTACTTATAGTTAAAGTATGGTGGCTCTCACGGAATACAATGAAGTTCTGCTTACATAGTACTGATAACATGGCTCAGAGTATATTCTAAGGGAGATGTTACATGGGAGAGTCACCAAAGCTCTGTAAGACCTTTTGCTGTGTTGCAACATCAGATATTAACAATCAAAAGCAGCATTTTATGTTACGTGGAACCCTTTTAAAAAAAAATTTAAACAGTGGATGACTTCAATACATAGATATATGAACTTATGTTGATTTTAAGACTTGATCTCTCCTAGAATATGTGTTCCAATACAAAACCACAGTGCTCTCCCACGGTCAGCTCAGTGCTATTTCTTTGACCACTCAGGAGGGGTCTTATATAAAGAGGAATTGTGAGACAACCTGCACAACATTTAGCATAGAGAACAATGGTTCTAGGTGATAATTCGCCAATTTTTGCAATACAATGTGAGCCCTTTATATAAATGTCAGCCAAGCTAGAACAGACCAGATGGGAAAAGGTTTAATGGGAGAATTTTCCCAGCTCAGCTATTTTGGCCAAAAGTTTGTAATATGTGGTTTCCATTCTGTACTTTTTTGTGGCTTTGTGAATAAACCATGTTTTAGAGAAATGGGTAAACCTCAATGCGTTTAATCCACACATTAACTTTCTATCTCATGTTGCATGCAAGGGGCTTTGATTATGACAGAGGGCTAACCATTTAAATACACATTTTGTCTCTATCATCACGTAGTATGGAGCTGATATTTCTATATTATCCATCTATCTCCACTCCCCCTAAATATTTATTTCTAATATATATATCTACTGTAGTTATTATATAATATCTATATATCTCCACTGTAGTTATATTTATAATATATATACTGCCTCTGTAGTCAACGCAATGTTTGACTACTGCTCCAATTTCACAGATTCTCTCCCACATTTTACTTTTATATGTAATCCACTCATTGTTTTGCAATGAGGCAAAAGCTACAGAATATCCGCATTACCAAAATACATTAAAAAAAAAAAAATCTGGTTTCAAGATGCTACCTTTACCTAGAAGTGTGATTTAGAAGAAAAACTCACAAACCTAGTAAAAACCTGATTTGCAAAGCAAAAAGTGTATTGAATAAACTATATTCATCTAAATATAACGGCAGCATAAACGCATCCAATTATATAGTCAAAAAAAGCAAGGGAATGTATCTGGGGAATATGGAGGAATCAATTTAACCTATAGCAAAAAAATAAATAAAAATGTGTTCTTATTTCATGAGGCAAATGATCAAACATTACCTTGCAGAATATATAGTACTTATATACTAATATGGTTAGCTATATGCTCAGATTATTGAAGCAAAAAAAAAAAAAAAAAAAAAAAATTTATGAAATTATATATTGGTAATTATTCTAGGCAAAGTCACTTTCTTTCTCAAAAGGGTTCTCGTTCAGAACATTAAATGCTGCTTCATCCCCATTAATAGAAATAATGGAAACATACTGGTTTCCTTACATAGAAAGGGTTAACCACAAATGTATAAGGGGGTGCATCCAATGCATGCATGTTTAAACACTTTGGTTAAAACCTGATGCACAACGCAATAGGCATCACCTCTTTCGCAGTGAAATCTTGGAGAACGATTGTCTAATACTGAAAAGGCCAAACACACAAATGAAGCATGGCTACTTGCTTTCATTTTTTTTTTTTTTTTTTAAGGTTTTTTTTTTCTTATCCTTTTGTTTTTCTTAAAGTGGAAAGAACAGCAGTGGCACACAACAGGTTGCTCTCAGTCCGCTGAATGAAGCAAGAAAGTTTTGTTTTGTATTGTATTGTTTATGCAGAGGAGACATTCGGATGCTGCGTGGGGTGTGCTGTCTGCGAAGCAGCAAGAGAAGCTGTAGTCACTGGAGGCGGTTGCTGGCAGCTGCTAAGACCCGCCTGGGTGGAGATTTGAGACAGCTGATCGCTGTTGGAAAGGGATTTTAACAGTGCATTCTCACGTTCAAGTGTAGAGTTCTTCTCAATTAATTCCTTTATTTGTTCCTTCAGGACTTCCACCTCTTCTCTTACAGCATACATCAGATGGCTTTTTACCAGGTCCTAGAAAAAGAAAATATACAATAAAGACCAAAGAAGAAGAAAATACTGACTAATAGAAGTGATCCTACTTGTTGATAGAAAGGTCTAAAAAATATTTTTTAATTTTGTGAGACCTAGAGAGCATGTAATCTACACAGATTATTTAACGTGACTCATTGCACATCTATTTCATCTGTATATCAATTTCCCTTAAAATGTAAATTTAAAGGGTACCTACAGTCCCAAAAATAGCAGTAGTTTCCATGGGACTAAGTTCCCTTCAATAATTGTGACCATTGTACACCCTCTTTTGATGTACGAAAGGGAGGATTACTTACCTAGTTTCCAGCACAAGACCGCGGCTGCAGCCACCTGCGCTGTCTCAGTCAGCATGCATGACAACTCTTTTGCGTTCTTGTCCAGTCCAATGCTTCTCAGAGAAACACTGGGGATGAGAATCGTGTGGGAAAATTCTGTTTTAAGTACTAAGGCTGCCTCCTACCTACATTAGGTCCCCCCCCCCCCCATCGGCTGACAGAGGAGGCAGAGCATGACCCTGTGCTGAGGGATCTCGGCACTAGAATTGGGTAAGTGAATAAAGAATTATTTAAACCTTTACATCGCAGGGAGGAGCCGCAGGGGCACATTCGTAGTCAGAATAGATCCGTGTGTTCCTTTAAGCCAATGATTCTAATGCATACCTAGGAGTAAGCAGTAAATATGTGCTGCCCTTATTTTATCATTTTCAAGAGGAAAGCAGTGATTGATGGATATATCAGCCACTGGCATGTTTTGTAATAATGGTAACCCGTGGCAATGCTCTGACGGTCACAGGACTTGCGAGAGTTAGACAGGGGAGCTGGAGGGAAGGTAAGTAAGAGTGTGCTGGCCCCCCCCCCCCAAGGATCCTGATGGCAGCCCTGGTCTTCATTATCGGTATCTATTTGCCAATACCGATATTGCTGAAAATACAGAATATCAGCCATACCGATAATCTGTCAATCCCTACTAAAGGCATATTTCCTTCTGACTGAAGAAGGGTAAGAAAAATGCATGTGCACATACACAGAAGAGACTAAACAGCATATGCTGGTTTTAATAGGATATATCATTCTAATAATGATCACACTCTTCTAAATCATATTGCAGGCTATGATACGATTTGACGATAACCTCACAGGATTTGCCATATTCTAACATTTCAACACGCTGATAAAAAATAAATAAAATAAAAATGAATTTTGGTGTCCCAATTTAAAAATTTTTTATACCATCCCAAGTCAAATCATTATCCACTTCTTCGGGACATACTTGAACATTTTAATGTACCATTTCTGGTACAACATTTTTCAAATAAATACCTTAAATAAGGAACATAAGTGAAAAACACCTATAAAAGTGGAGAGCTAAAAATGGGGTCTCTTACCCTTTAATAAGAGTGGTACATAGGCAGGAGTATGGAACAGGACAGGAAGAGTAAATACCTCACTGAAGCTGGAGGACACAAATCATGCGATCATGATGAAAATGAGGGGGCCACCATTTAAAAAAAACGGGACAGTATATCATGGATTTTTAGCGGACTGAAAAAGCCTAGATTGTTGGCAAAATGTGTTTTGGCACTTTGCTAATTCTTCCTGTTACTGCACTTTTGTTTTATATGGGAGTATTAATACATATTGGTGTATATTTTATGACATCTCTATAGTATATTTTAGCAGTATCCAGCACCTTCATCCACTGGTACACCATTGTGGGCAGTATCACCAAGCTTATATACCTAGAGCCAGGACCTCTTTGGCACATGCAGATTTTTGTTTATATTGGAGTGGTTTAGATATCTGCACTATTACTGCCTTTGTTTTTTCTTCTCCCTTTTGAGTGTGGAGTTTCATAAGAAGAAAGGTATGTTGCTACCTGCAAAGGCAAACCTGTGCGAACATGGAGTCTTATTGTTACCAGGCTCTGCTGCATGCGAGTATTCCTAGTTATTTAAACTATAAGTCACTTGTGGACATTGTACCATTTGCAAATGCTTCTCTTCTGCCAATGAATAAAAACAAAACCTAGAATAAAGCATAAATATGAATCTAGTTTGCATTATGTTTGCCCTCTTGCAAAGAGTTTTCATTGATCAGTCCAATATGTGTGCAGTCAACATTCAAAGCTAGTAAATCATGTCAGGAAGTACTCATCCTTTCCTAAAGTTGAATATGTGTACACGTTACTCAGCAATGAAGGAATTTACTTTTACCAACAATGCTAGGATGAAAGGCTGAGCTGATCATAATGGGAATCAATAACTGTGACTCAGTGGAGGTATCCCTAGGCTGTAGTGCAAACACTGCCCTTTCTCTCAAAATACAGTGTTTACTGAATAAAGCTTAAAGGAAAGGATACTAACCAGAACAAATACAATCATCTGTAGTTCTGGTGACTATAGGTCCCTTTTTAAAAATGCTTCTCATAAATAAGCACTAGTGTGTACTTTGCAGAGTTTCTCAACCTTTTAAAGAAAAGCAGGTAAAAAAAACAAAAAAACAGCTAAGTATCCCTGCCTCAAGACAGTAATTTCTATTGATTTAAATACAAAAATAAAAAAGTAGACACTCATATTTAAAGGGACACTATAGTCACCAGAACAACAACAGCTTATTGAATTTGTTCTGGTGAGTAGAATCATTACCTTCAGGCTTTTTGCTGTAAACACTGTCTTTTCAGAGAAAATGCAGTGCTTACATTATAGCATAGTGAAAACTTCACTGGCCACTCCTCAAATTGCTGTTAGAGATCCTTCCTGAGTCAAGGCTGCCTAAAATGCATCCAAACATTCAGTATCTCCTCCCTCTGCATGCAGACACTGAACTTTCCTCAGAGATTCATTGATTCAATTCATCTCTATGAGGAGATGCTGATTGGCCAGGGCTGTGTTTGAATCATGCTGGCTTTGGCCCGATCTGCTTCCTTGTCAGTCTCAGCCAATCCTATGGGGAAACATTGTGATTGTTTTAAGCTACCACACTTAAGATGTCAGTGGGCAGCAGGCAGTGGGCAGGTCTAAAGGAAACAGTGAAAGCCAACAGCTTCAGGCTTGAATACAAGTAAGATTTTGCTATTTTTTAGGGAGGCAAGAGGGGGGCCAGGGTGGCTAGATGGTGATTTTAACCCTATAGGGTCAGGAATACGTTTGTGTTCCTGACCCTATAGTGCATCTTTAAATTAATTGGATAACAAGCCTGATTAACTGTAATAAAGAATGTTTAAAAATAAGATGTGAATATTGTGTATGAACTATTAATCTAAAGTATAAAAGTCCCAAAATGAAAATATAATACACACTTTAAGGAACCGTATAGTGCCAGGAATACAAACGTGTATTCCTGACCCTATAGATTTAAAATGACCATTTAGGTTCCCCAGTCCCCCTTAGGCACCCAGACCACTTCAGCCGATTGAAGTGGTCTGGGTGCCAACTCCCATCATCCTTAACCCTGCAATTGGGATTTCCGGCTTCTTGGACTACTTTTGGTCTTCTAAATGACGCTGGATGTCCTCATGCTATGCATGAGGACCTCCATTGTTGCAGGAACCATAGGAAAGCATTGCATAATGTTTCCAATGGGGAGGTGTAATTAACTCCTTAAGGAAATATTCTGTCATGATTCCCTTTTATTCCAGAAGTGTGTCATTAAGGGGTTAAGTCTACCCTGCAGGCATACGTCGGTGGGGGAGGAGAGTGGGCAGAGCCTGATCCAGCACTGAGGGACATCAGCACTGGATTCAGGTAAGTGTCTGAAGGGGTTTTAACCCCTGGGATGGGGGCAGTCCAAGATTCTACAGTACCAGGAATACTGGTTTGTTTTCTGCTTTGCCTCCTTGGCAGAGAATCAAGTTTGATGATCTCTGCAAATTCAATGGTTTCCCATAGGAAAGTATTTTGAGGTTATTGCACATGTATTGTACCAATCAGCATCTCCTCAGATACACTAAATCAAGGTATCGCTTCCTAGCTTTGGTATGCAGATCACAGGTTGAGAAGCTAGGTGCTATGGCTTATGTATGGCAATCACTTTGCTTATAAAAGCACTGCCTACCCGCTTTGTGCAACTGCTTAAAGCATGGAAGAGCATAATGTCTGTGGCCCCTCCATCCTCTTCTGCTCCTGCTGCCCCAGCTGCCAGGAGTCAATGTCACTGCTGAATTCACTCATGGGAAAGCACAGCAGAGAGGTCTATGGACAATCCTGCAAGGTCCTTTATAGAGCGAGACAATTTCCAGGTCTGCCATCCTTGTGACGATTTCAACTTCTTGATGGCAGTAGCTCTGCCCAGTGTCAAGACCCTACTTTGTCTCAGCTTATCTTTTGACTGCGCTGGAATTTCATTGAAATTATAACAGAGTATTTCATAAAGATTCTATCTTTATAAAATAATCATTTTGCAGGGGGGGGAGGAGGATGACCGTGCTGCTTTAAAGGGTGCTAGCTTGCTTGAGGTTAAACCATTAATGGCTTAATCGTTTCATGTAAGATGGTGCCTTTGACCACCTGGCACTATAACAACTTCATTTTTATTAATGCTATGGTTCCCAAAGTGGTTCTTTAACCCCTAAATTACTTAATGGATTTGGAGAGTTCCTTTAAACAGCTCAGTAAGATATTTTGCAAACATTCACAGCTCTTTTTAAAAGTATTTATTTTCAAGAACAAAACACAGATTTCTTTAACAAGATCTATATAGATTTGTCATTTGTGCTTCCGCCCTATTAAGAGCCCTGATGAAGGGGGTGGAGGAGACAAATCAAATAGATTATCTGTAAAAGAAATGGGTCCCACTCCCGCCGGGCTGAAGGGGGGAGGAAGGGGTTACATTCTTACACAAGCGCTGGGGATTCTACTCCCTCTTCCGACGAATGCACGTCAAGAGCTGCACGCGCAATCAGTCCATAGGAAAGCATTTCTCAATACTTTATGGACGTTGGCATCTTCTCACTGTGAAAAATCAGTGAGAAGCGCGGAAGCGCCTCTAGCAGCTGTCCATGAGACAGCCACTAGAGGCTGGATTAACCCTAATGTAAACATAGCTGTGTTAACCCTAGATGGACCTGGCACCCAGACCACTTTATTGAGCTGAAGTGGTCTGGGTGCCTATAGTGGTCCTTTAACACTGAATAGATGAGCTTACTAATCAAAGTTTGTCAGATGGACCAACAATTAAGAGCATAATTAAATCACCAAAAACACATTCCAGAAAACTAGTTCTCTCAGTTTAGAATCATTCCATTTACTCACCATTGCCTGTTCTATTTTGTTGTCGATTGCTACAACATTTGCACTTGATGAACTGCGGAAGAAAAAAAAGAAAAGGGGTGGGGGGGATTTTAAATTAGACAATGCAATATTAAATTATTTTTTTTGGTAAATACCAAGACACTGAAGCACCATAACCAGTATGACCAATTGTTTTTTTGTGAAACCAAGTGGTTTGATTTAAAAAAAATAAAATAAAAAATGACTCAGAACACAAAGACTGGCATTTATGGCAAAAAGACATCTTGCACTGTAACCACAGACCAAATACAGAGTGCATATTTTTTAAATCAAGGCACCATAACCACATCATCTTTTAGTGGTCTATTTAAGTGGTTATGGTTCCTATGTTTTTGATCTTTTTGAGACTGAGTGAGTATACCAGGCAATCTGAAACCCTGTCTCCGTGATGGGCAGCAGTGATTGACTGAGAAGTTTACACTTTCTGTCTATCACTACCACCAACTGCTGGTGTAAATTTGTATGGTTAATGTGAAGTTCCCTTTTGCAACAGACAAACCACCAGCTGAGGGCTGAGCCTCTGGCACTGGTATCAAACCGATCAAAAAACTATTAGACAATGAATAGTGGGTTGACACTAGGAGCTTCAAGTCACCATAATCACATCAATGAGATTAAGTAGTTATAGTTCCTAGAGTGACCCGTTCGTATTTAATATAGTGAAGACATTTGTGTACATTGCATAACACAGATCTCAAAACCAATATCAATATAACATTAGCCTTGGAGAAGTTTGCCAAATTAATGTGTGGCGTAATGAAGAATTTAGTTTTGCAAGCATCTGAAATGCCAAGGCTACCCATCACAAATAAAAGACACGGTTAGATTTTCATCAACATTACACCACTAAGAAATTTCATTGTGATAGTTTTAGCTTTTAACACATTAAGAGCTCACCCCAGTGGCCATTTAATGGAATAAGCACAATCATTTGATGTTTAAGCTCACCCGTTAAGGGGGGGTAAATAAGCACTATGCCAAGCAGTCATTTTCTACACTAACTGCCATAGACACTAGATACTTTGTTACACTCCAGAATGAAGTGATTATGGTGTCACAAGGATCCAGGCTTAGGGGTTAACAGTTTAACCTGAAAGTCTACTGTCCAGTGATATACAGCTCTGCCCTCTCAGTTTGAGTAATAAGCTGGAAATAGGATGCTGATGCACTCAGCATGTCACTTAGTATAGTAAATAAGAAGCTACTCAAGCTGAGCGCATCAGCTGGATCTTTCAGCGGCACCCAGTCTGAGACGTAGTTTCAAGCCTAGGACTCAAGCCTAGAAATGGGTTTAAAGTGGACAGAGCTGAATAGTGTCAGACAGAAGATTTTAGGGTTAAACCATTTAACTGTTTAACCACTGAAGGCAAGCCGAAGCAAGGGACCTAATGGCAACATAACTTCTGCAATGGAAGTGGATTGGTACCTGCAAAGAACAAGAGGGGATTCTGCCATGGAAAAAACATCCCCTCAAAGACCAATGCATTTTTATACCATCCAACTGTGCTTACATTTCAAAATGAAAAAACAACAACATTCAATTAACCAGAACTCTCAACATTTTCACTTCGGCTCCTTGGTGTCCTGCACCTGTGGATTCCAGGGAACTTCTCTTCGGCAACACAACGCAAGTGCATCATTAGATGCAATTGCAACATGCAACCAACACTAGGATCATGTCAGGACTTGTCAGTGCTCCATGGATGGTCCAGAAGGCTGAAAGGCTGGACAAGGATACGGTCAGTGCGCAAGCCCATAAATTTTTTGGCATCACCAGTAACACATTGCATTACTGGCGACCCAACCCCCATCCAGAGTTTCCCCTCCTGTAGGGAAGCATGGAGTGGCCAAGTACAAGACACTTCATAAAGAACCGGACTAAAGAGTGGTAAAGTGCAACCTCTGATTAAGGGGTTAAGATCTTCCGTTGCTGGAAAGTTAATTCAGTAAGATGGAGGCAGATGAACCATGAGTGAGTAAATAAGCACTCCTTCTACATGGAAGTTTAAATGTAACATGCAATGACAGAAAAATCTTAATTTTATTTACTGGTCTATGGTACATGGTTTAGCTTTATTGCCCCTTTGACTGAAATATAGAATCATGGATCACCCATCATGATCAGCAGAGGACTTTGCTATGGACGCTCTGCGCGATGGATGCAAAATTCACATCCAGCGTCGCAGATGCGCCTCTAGTGGCTGTCCGGAAGGCAGCCACTAGAGGCTGGATTAACCCCAAATGTAAACATAGCAGTTTCTCTGAAACTGCTATGTTTGCATCTGAAGGGTTAAAACCTGAGTGACCTGGCACCCAGACCACTTCATTGAGCTGAAGTGGTTTGGGTGACTATAGTGTCCCTTTAATGTACACATCATCCCATAGGAACGTATTGGATTTGCGGAGATAGTCAATTCTGATGACCGCATCCATGAAAGTGGGGTAGGGGTGGAGGAAAACACCACCATGCCCAATCAGCATCTCCTCAGAGAAGCATCGAGTCAATGCACCTCATAGCAGAGCATGGAGATGCTGAACGAGTGTGCAGCATCTCTAGTGGCAGACTGAGGAGTGGCCACTAGGGGTATTCCTAGGCTATTATGTACACACTGAAAAGGCAGTGTTTACATTAAAATGCTTGCAGGGATCAACTATACTCACCAGTAGAGATGTCGCAAACCGTCCGCGAACTTCTTGCAAACGGTTCGCGGCGAACTCCGGTCAGCTGACACATCCCGGCCAATCTCCAGCAGACCCTCCCTCCCAGACCCTCCTACTTCCTGGACAGCATCCATGTTGAAGGCAGCTTCAACATGGATGCTGTCCAGGAGGTGGGAGGGTCTGAGAGGTAGGGTCTGCCGGAGATTGGCAGGGATGTGTCAGCTGACCGGAGTTCGCCGCGAACCGCGGCAAACCGTTCGCGAGAAGTACGCGGACGGATCGCGAAATCTCTACTCACCAGAACTACATTAAGTTGTAGTTATTCTGGTAACTATAGAATCAGTTTATCACAGACTGCTATAAATAATTTATTCAACACTGGTTTGTATTGGAATTCTATTAGTGTTCCAGTATAGTTTAACATCAGAATGGAGATTTTAGAGTGAAAACAAGAGGTGGGGCAGGAAATTAAGAATGCATGTCCACAGCATAAAAGAAAAGAATTTCAGGAATGCATGGACACAGCATAAGGGAAATTGAACTAAAGGGTTACAAAGAAGATATATTCTTGGAATCACATTTTTTCCCCCCAAGTCTTGGCAGAAAGAGTTCAAGTATATTTTTATTAAAGTTACATAAAATGATTATTTTACGGATGACAAATTCAAAACACCAAGCAGCCAGTTATGTTATTTTCGGTTGAGCCCTGCAATCCAAAACGATAACGTTCTCTATAATGTATCACACTTTACAGTGTAAGGAACATGCAAGTCCCATGAGTTTTCACACATTTACATTTTATTTTTAATGATCAATATTGATCAAACTAATTAAACAAAACAAAAACAAAACTCTAAAATAAAAAGACCAAAACAAATACAAAATAATTTCAAAGGTCAAACTAAACCACTTATACAGTAGATTGGTTTACGTTTTGCATGGTATATGAAGGGTCTGCCTACTTTAGCAGTTCTCATTTAGGATGTTTTTGTATCGTTTAATGATTATTTAGATAACTACAAATAGGAAAGGAGGAATTGTCAGTATAGTGCACCCCTTTAAACGTGAATAAGGTTCCAGTACCCAGACTGTTGTAGTTTGCAAAGAGCAGTTCCACATAGAAATTGGCCTCTGCAGGTTGCGATTGGCAATGCACTTTTAGGTCACCGGCTGTGATGTCACACCAACACAATTAACACACAAGAAAAAACACACACCAATAGACCTTCGATGCCTTAGAACAGGGCTTGACAAATTTGCTTGATATCTAGGAGCCAGCTAAAAAAACAAAACCCACAAAACAAAGCCAGTACTTTTTATTTTAACTAAAAGCTTAATTTTCTCCGACAAAAATACAATTCTTAAAGGGACACTAGTCACCACAACCACTGCAGCTTAATGTAGTGGTTCTGGTGTCTATAGCCTGTCCCTTCAGGCTTTTCAAAGTAAACCCTCCCTTTCTAGAGAACAAAAGCATTAACATTGCTGACTAGTAACAGTGGCCATCACTCAAAGGGTGTGCAGCTGAATGAGACGCTGAATGTTCCCCATAGAGATGCATTGATTCACTGCAACTTTATGAGGAGATGCAGATTAGTGCATTCACAATAGCATCCCAATACTTTCTTATAGGAAAGCCACGGCATGGCTGAGATTATCAAGATTAATTATCTCAGCCATGGAGGTGGGTCCATCCCCAGAGACTCATGGCGTGGGAAAAAAGGGGAGTAAAATAACCTTTCCCATGCAATCAGAAGGGGGACCAGTCACCTAAACAGTCAAAACACAAAAACAGACATGGCTCTAGGTCAGATTTTTAAATATTATTTTAATTGAAATCTACCCACCCTCATTACCTTTGGAGAGCTGAGTAGTTCGGCTTCTCCTGGGGTCCAGTGGGGCTGCTGTCCCATCCCTGCTGTGTTGTCGTGCACTGTTTAGTGTACTGGGGCCGGAATTATGTCATATTCTAGCTCCTGGCATCACTGCAGGGTGCGCAAGGGAGCACAGCAGTAAGATGACAGCTCCCTCCCTCATTACCTAGCTCCATTCAACACAGCGGTCACTAGCTCGCCTCTGCTCTCCCACAGCAAGCAGACTGACTGCATTCTCTCTTGCTGATTCGGCCTGACATATCCCACGCACCAGGACAAAATTCATGCCCATGCTTCCTCATTAGCCCAAGCAGCACGTGATAAAGGAGTTGCTGAGTACGTATGTTTAACGTTTGAACATTAAAAACAATTTAATGCTGAATGAAAGGACTTTAGGTTTGGGGTAGGCAACCTTCGGCACTCCAGATGTGGACTACATCCCCCATAATGCTCTTACACCCCTAATGCTAACAAAGCATCATGGTAAGTGTAGTCCAAAACATCTTGAGTGCCGAAGGTTGCTTTAGGCACTATAACCAAGATAAAAAAAAAAAAAAAAAAGCAGTTCTGATTCTTACTATGTCCCTTTAAGAGGTTTAGTAATAAGGAGAGCGTGAGGATGCATTGGAGAGGCAAAAGAATGAATATACACAACTACATTCAAAAATATACTGACCCTTTTGGCAGATACATCCTGTATTCACTCCACATTACACAAAAAAAAAATTCTGTGCACAAATATCCAACTGGAGATCCTAAACCATTCTAGGGGAGGATATACACAAACACTGATATTTTTGTAACTGTGTGGTTTTAAGTTTAGTTTCATGATAAGTATTAACAAATTACTGACAAACCGAAAAAGAGAAAGACCATGGCAAACTAAAATGGCAAGCTATGGGCACCGCCACATAATTAAAACATTCACAAATGCCAATTGCAAAAATATGAATTTAAAACGGAAAAGTTTGAGGATGATTTTTTTCTAAAAAAAACAAAAAAACATTCAAATACATAGTTGGCACATTTTATGAATTAATAATATGCTTGTTGACAACTGCAAAAGCACATGATTCACATTCATCATCCCAAAGTAATCAATTTATTGAAAGCACTAGATTTCAACATCAGTGCAGACCTGCAACCCATATAAATTTATAAGTAGTCCTATTCAGTTGGGTTTTGTTGCCCTATTTTTGCAAAAACAGATTTTTGAGAGACTTAAAGGGACACTATATGCATCTAGACCACTTCAGCTCAATAACCCTTTAAGGACACAGTTTCAAAGGCTTGTCTTTGCATTTTTTTGCTGTTGGCATTCAACTGCAATTTGCATTTTACTAATTTATTGCACCAACACATTATATACAGTTTTTTAAAGGACAAAAAGGGCTTTAATTTGAGGTAACATTTACATATATAAATGCTTATTTATTATAAAACAAAATACAAAAATGTTTTTTTTTTCCCCACAGTGTTTGCAATAATATGTATGTAATTCGTGCAGGTTAAGGAAAGTAATAATTAAAAAAAAAAAATGTAGTTCTGATTTACAGAATATATAATGTGTCTAGGATTTTAAGGTTTTTTTTGGTAGTTACAGGTCACAAAGCACAAGGAGTAAAAGAAACTTAATGTGGAGCGATTTTAGAATTTGGTAGGTTTGTCTTGTAAGCTTAATAGCCATAAATGAAAACAAAATTGCCACACAAAAATATATATTTATTTAAAGCAGACCTCACAGACTATTTACCCAAGGTTATTTTGACACTTTTTGTAGCCATTTCACCGCCAACGTCTGCTAAATTTTGGAGTAAAGTTGTTGTTTTTTTGTTGTTTTTTTTTTTTACACACAAACTTATAACAAAGATCTTCTCATGTGTATTTTGTAAAGTTTGTGTGTGCTATTCCTGTACAAAACTTTATTCTGTGTTCAGCTACATCTGCAGAGTACAATGATACCCCCATTGTATGTCTTTGGCACTATTTCGTGAAGCTACAGTGCCATATAGGAGACCTGTCCTTTTCAGTATTTACAGTGGAATTTTGAGAGGCTGATTTGAAGGGCCAATGTTTCAATTTAGGGCATTATAGCAGATTGACTGTTAAAACCCCCCCCCACAAAAGCCTACCATTTGTAAAAGTATACACAACAGGGTATTTCAAAAGGCATATTTTAAACCATTTTTAAAAATCAGTTTTTTTGCTAGTTTGTATCAAGTCTAATAGAAATTAGACTTTTTTCTGCCTTTTTGACACACTTTGAGAGGTTACTGTATATTTTGCAATCTTTATGTGTGCTACGGCAGTAAAACACCAAATATGTTGATCAGCTATGTTGGGATATGTGGATGTTGAAGGGGCACATTTGAGACACCAATTTCATATTTTTCAAAAGGGGGACGCTGGGCCCAAGTAATTTTAGCAGCTCATGATTGCAAATGACCTCTCAAAGGCCACATCTATTTTTAAATACAAGCAGCTCATCAGTTAATGAACAAGTGCATTCTATTTGCTGTGAAAGGGGGAATATTTGGCGTAAACTTATCAGGGGGTAGAACCCAGTCATCTGGGTCACAGGCAACGCTAGCATGGATTCCGGAACCAAAACACACGGACCGACCACAAAGAGAGAAACTTGTAATACCGGTCCTTAGAATTCGACTCTGCTAGTGCGTTCATCATGGATGGTGGCTAGAATGATCACCTTTTTATCACAGTACTTTAGTGCCAGCAGTTCATTCTGGCAGAGAGCTGCTGTTTCCCCCTTTTTATTTATTTCCCCCCGCTATAGCTTTTGAGAAACCTGTACGACTCTTCCGAATAGTGCCACAGACCATGGTCTCAAAGCAGTACAGCATTTTTAGAAGTGGGATACTGTTGTAAAAATGATCGATATACAAGTGATATCCCTTGTTTGGTAACAGCATGATTAGGTCCCAGACAATTTTCCCACTTGTCCCTACTATATCTGGGCAACCTGAGGGGATCAAGGTGGCTATCCCTTTCTTCGTATACACGGAAGGTGTACACCTAGCCACTGCAACACAACTTATAAAATTTGATCCCATATCGGGATCTTTTGGATGAGATGTACTGTTTAAACCCCAGTTTTCTCTTAAAAAGTTCATGAGGGATTCATCAAAAGAAATTTTTTTGGGGTATAAATAGTGGCAAAATTTTTGTTAAAGTGGGCAATTAGAGGGCGTATATTATATAAGATCATGCTGCGGATGACCTTTTGGGGGACACTTCGTGCATAAATCGCAGTATGTCTTCATATCAGGGCCTACTCATTGTCTGGGGGGAAAAAAAATGGGGGTATTGCAATTGGGGTTATCCCCATTAGCATGGTCAGTGCCCAGAATCGTTTCAACTCTGGCACACTGGTGGGGTACCATCTCTTGATTGTGTGCCAGATACTGCTTAGTGTACAGATTAGTCTGGGTGACTATCTCCCCAAAAACATCATCCCCTCAAGAACAGCTGCATACAATCCAGTGCATTATAGCCAGACAGGTCAGCCTGTATGCCAGGATTGGCAGTGAACTCTGGAATGTCTGGTGAAAAATTATTAGTGGGGAACCCAGTCATCTGCGCCATGTTCAGCATTAGGGGAATCAGCAATTTCTCCTGATGGTCCTGCAGTATCTGGCACATAGTCCCTGTCCCCTGCATCACTCTGAGGCAGTGTCTGTCGCCTCTGAGTCGGCCTCTAACAGGGCATAAGTCTCCTCTTCAATACTTCCTAAACATAATAAATTTTAACTAAATAACTAAACTCATTTTTTTACTTTTCACCCCTAACTAGCTTATCACTAAATTCTCCCAATTCCCACTAAATTCCACCCACCCAAACTAAATCACAAATTGATAAAATATTTAACATTTTTAACCCCTTAGGGTTACTTATATTAAAAAAAATAAAAAAACAAAAAAAAAAATAAAAACCTAGATCACAGTAAAGTATGCAGCAGGGAAAGTGTTAGTTTTAAAAAACAAAAAAAAACAAAAAAAAAACAAACAAACAAACAAACAAACAAAAAAAACAGGGGAAAGGGGATTCGGAACCTCTTTAGACAATTTATTCACTTCAGGGACACAATGTAACAACGATCCCTCTCTCTCCACTTCAAAAACCTACAAGAGGTGGAGGGAGGCTAATCTGATATCCCAGCAGCATTGTGACTCCTGTGACCGATCACGTGCGCTGGGACATCGCGATTTGCTGTTGCTGGTCTGCCACTGACTCAGAGGCACCCAGCAACAGCGTTAACCCCGCAATCGTTGCACCTCAGCGATCTGGGGGTTCATTTTAGCTGATGACGGACCCAGTGTGTCATGCGTCGTTAAGTGCTTCCCAAGCATGACGGAGCGTCCTTAAGGGGGTTAAAGAGGTTTGAGTGCTCTGTCCCTTAACCATGCAATATTAATGGAGCACTCCACTGCCCACATAGTAAAAACATTACTATTTAGTAGATATACCTCTAGTGAATACATGCATTCATTATTTTCAACGAAATCAGCACTTTTATAAACTGGTCCTCACCCATAGAGCACGTCAGCAAATTGAAGTGCTTTTGGAGTGTGGAGTGGTCCTACACATACGGAACTCACAATGACATCAAATGCCTCAGCATTGTATAAAGCTTTCCTCTTAAGTCATTCAGTATAATGTATCCAGAATCTTTACTCTGCAAGCTAAAGCTGTGCATTTCAGGACTGGGACTGACATAGGTGTACCAACCCCAGGGCCTGGTTAGATTACAGTATATACTCTAGTATAAGCAGAGTTTTTCAGCACATTTTTTGTGCTGAAAAACACCCACTCTGCTTATACTCGAGTCAAGGTCTGTATTATGGCAACTTACATTGCCATAATACAGACCTGGACCGCCGGGCTTGTAATTGTTGACTCGAGTATAAGCCGAGTGGGGGTCCTGTTGGGGGCTGACAGCAAGCTGTTACTTACCTTCCTGCAGCTCCTGTCAGCTCCATTCTGCTTACAGTGTAAGTCTCACGAGACCCGCGGGTGTTGCGAGACTTACACTGTGAGCAGAATGGAGCTGACAGGGGAGCTGGACGGAGGAGAAGGGACCTGACAGAAGCTGCAGGAAGATAAGTAACAGCTCACTGGCAGGCCCCCCACTGAACAGCCAATGCCACTGGACCACCAGAGATTGAATATTATTTTAATTCAATAATAATATTTTATTATTATTATTTTAATATTTGCATTATTTTTTTTAAATGTTTTTTGTCCCCCCTCCCTGCTTATTGCCTGGCCAGGGAGGGGGGGGACATTTTTTTTTTTTTTTTTTAAATAATGCAAATATTAAAAAAATAAAGTAATATAATATTAAAATAAAAAAGCTCTCCCCTCACTTAGTTTACACACACTGCATTCACACAAACACACTTTGCATTCATTATATACACACAAACACACACTGCATTATATACACACACTGTAAATAAATATTCAATTAATGTAATTTTATTGGGATCTAATTTTATTTAGAAATTTACCAGTAGCTGCTGCATTTCCCACCCTAGGCTTATACTCGAGTCAATAAGTTTTCCCTGTTTTTTGTGGTAAAATTAGGGGCCGCGGCTTATACGGTATTACATTGTGCATTAAGGGACTCAGTCACAAACCTATTTACATTTTGGCACATTAAAGATCCCTCAATAACCAGAAAAGCTGTTTATAAGAAGATTACTAAACATACAGTCCACCTATCTTGCTGAATTACTACTAAACAGCATTAGGACAGCCATCCCTGTAACCTTTAAAATTACATTTGTGATCTTTCCTCCGTAGAAGAATTTCTTTAAAAGCTGGGTGAATTTGGTTTAAATCACAATTTAAAAATCACTATTCAGTAAAACTCTAAAAATCAAGATTTAAAAAAATGTGAAGACAGTCTTTGTTAGTTGTTCTAATATTTAATATTTGCCACCAGATGAATATTTTATATTGCAAGTAATCTGTGAGATAAGTAAAACAGCTATATCAAAACCGATTTTAGCTAAATAATCACTCATATTTGGAGAACTACAGAAATACTTTTATTTAACCAACACAAACAAGCTTCCTGCATTGATCGGGCCCCAACTGATTTCTCAATTTAGATTGCACAAGTGCAAAAGAGAATATTCTTTCAATGCCAGATATCGATAAAGTTTGCGAGAAAATTATCTGGAGGCAGTGCTTGTCCTTAATTTAAAATCGTGGTAGTCAACCTTTTTCATCCTACCGCCCACTAATGCATCTTTCTTGATGGAAAAATTTCCTTACCGCCCACCAGTTTTCGCGCAAATGCAGAATATTTTTTAGAAAGGAGGGCGTTTAAAAAAACAAAACAAAAACAAATGTACGTACATTTATCTTTTTATTTCTACTTAATGCATGTTTATAATGTTAACTTTAAGTTTAATGAGAAAACAAAGTAAATTGAAATTACATTTACTAGTGATTAATGAGATCCTTGAGGTTGATGCTGCGAGACTAAATATTTGATATCTGGTTCAATTTTCGTAAGGAACAAACAAAGGTCTCCTCTTTCGGTGATATTCAGACGACTTCTGTTTGCGCATAATATGATTTCTCATCTGTGCGTCTGCTCCCCTCCCCACCTTTTTTGTTCTTCCTTTTTTCTATTTTTAACCTTACTTATAGCAATGCCCAGTAGGAAGGCTGAGCTAGGTAACCCACTATAACAGACAGGCACACACACACAAAGACACATACACACAGACAGGCACACACATACATACACACAGACAGGCACACATACAGACGATAAATACAAACATACAGGCACACAGTCATGCACACAAGACATACAAAGACACACATACAGACATACACACATACATACATACAAAGACAAGACACATACACACAAGGACATACATAAGACACACACATACAAACACATATTTAAGTCACCCTCCTGTTTCCTACCTTTAAGGTGCAGGAGGGTGACTTTCCCTGGGGTCCACTGGTGGCTCAGGTGGATGGGAGTCAGAGTTCCCACTCTGACTCCCTGGTCTTCCTCCCGCGCGGCTCTCAGTGTTAGCTGGGAGGTGTGACGTGCAGTCACTTCCTCCCAGCTCTGTGATGTAATCACAGGGGGCCCGGTCGCGCTGTTAAAGCGCCCAGCGCTGACTGGGCCACCCCACAATCCACATCCATTGGGTGGCCCTGACAGCACGGGCCATCCGATGGACCCCATGGACGGCGGCCCCAGCGGGGGCCACAAATTGTGATGGCGGTACCCGGTCGCAGAGATACCGCCGGCTCACACCCGCCCAATCTCTCAAAATGAGGAAATCCCTACCGCCCACCTGGAATCCTGAAACGTCCACTAGTGGGCGGTAGGGACCAGGATGACGACCCATGATTTAAAATAAAATATATCTGTTTTAAATGCATACATACCATAAACCACATATCAACTGTACCCATTGTGCCACCATATAATCATCTGCTTTCTATGCTGCTTCTTGGTAGATAAGTATTTTTGTACCATTTACAGACCATTTTTAGCCCCATTTCATCTTACATGGCAACCCACGATCTTTAGTAAACACAGATCAAGTTAGATGGATTATGTATACAAATAAGTTTAGGTGTGAGTAGCTTGTTTACTGTACCATATTATAACCATTATCTAGTCATTGTTAAAATGCAAAACCAAAATAGCTTTTACCTGCTTCTACTTAAACTAAAAAAAACTCCTAGACACATAAGAAACTGCAGTATTTCAACAAAGTTTTTAATAACAGAAGTTATTAAAATGATCAGAATTAAAATAGTACCATCGTTGCATGCAGATTAACATACTGACAAACTATAGGAAACACATTAACCAGTGCACACGGTTTGCACCAAAAGAAATTATATTAATAAATAAAAAATAAAAAAATCACTAAACCTTTTAATTACTGAATCCAGAAGAACCATAAGCTTTCTGACCAAAATTCGCACTTCTGGCTCCTCTTTTACACAGAATATTTAGGTTTAAATCTGGGTCAAACAATGTATTGCTGGGAAAATAAAACCATGATTGGTTTATGTATTTAGAACCCTAAGAAGGTATTCATTTCACAAACTTATAAATGTATCTTTGGAAAGTAAGGGCTCATATGGCAAAGGAAAGGTTTTTTTTACTGTAAGAACAATAAGGATGTGGAATTCTCTGCCTGAAGAAGTGGTTTTATCAGAGCCCATACAGATGTTCAAACAGCTACTAGATGCATACTTGCAAAAACAGAATATTCAAGGATATAATCTTTCAAAGTAGGGTAATAAATGCTTGATCCAAGGGTAAATCTGACTGCCATTCTGGGGTCAAGGAGGAATTATTTTCCTAGCTTGTTGCAAAATTGGAAGTGCTTCAAACTGGGTTATTTTGCCTTCTTTTGGATCAACATCAAAAAACAAATGTGAGGAAGACTGAGCTTGACAGACGCAATCTCTTTTCAGCTATGTAACTGACTATATGTGCTGGTGCTGTTCTTAGATTAACTTCATTATAGTTATCAAAAAACATGTGTAAACCATTCAACCTTTGGTTTTATGGTTCTGTTAGTTTACTATAAGCCATAGTTTGCTTACATATTTTTATATATATATACATATATACACACACACACACACATATATACACACACACACATATATATACATACATACATACACATATATACACACACACACACACACACGTGTATTGTTATATACACGTATATACATACAAATACGAGAGAACACGTATTAAAAAAACCAAACCCCCCCAAACCACTATATGTACATACATCACACAAATATTAAAGCATACTAATTAACAAAATGTAGATGTTATTTTAATGCAATTTTAGGAGAGACTGGTCAGTGAAAGCATTATGTTGCAGTATACAGCAGATGATCAATTTACAGTTCATCATTTGCCCAAATGATAGAATACTGCTGATTAACTGCAAAGAGAACCGAGAATCACAACAAATCCAGGACTATTTGGCACTAGACAAATACACTCAACCGACACAACTTCATAATATCACATTAATTTGTTTTATTTTCAAGGTGTCAAATATTACTACTAGCTGCTTCCATTTTTATAAATGTAACTTTTTTTAAGACTAAACTGTAATTAAAAATTGCAAATATGTAGTTTATTCTATTAAGTTTGTCATTAAAATAGTAAATCATAAACTAGTCTACGTTATCTAAATAAAAAACAAATTAAAAAAACAAAACAACAACTCACCAGTAAGTCTTCACCCGTCGATGTGATAAAGAGGAGTACATATAAGATCGCCTACAATCCATTTCCAGCATTAAAACAAAAATAAGGAATCTGACAGAAGAAAAAGTTTACAAACGTCCCTTCTGCACGTACAATGTGTTGACTTGTGCAACAGAGTAATGTGTCACTAAATAAGACTGAACTGCAAACAACGGGTGTGTTATTACCTGCCTACTTGATAAATGAACCAAGCAGAAGGGGTGGGGAATGGAGTTTGTGAACTAGTCAGTAACAACCCATTTAAAATGTCATAATATGTCTAGTCATCCTAATTTGATTATATTAAATTGATCAATGATGAACTGTGTGTTATGGGACTATATTACACAAATCCGTTATTTCAATTGGTAGAACATGTTTCCATATCTTATATTGCATGTCAGGTGACATCACAGCGCAGAAAAAAAAAATGACATTGTGCAGCATGGGATCCATCAGTCTCATGGAAAATGTGGCCTGGCTTGATAGAGTGATGGCAGTGGAACTTAAAGAAAAATATAATTGTTTAACCAACATCATTATCAATAAAAGTTTTGAAAACACCACAACCACCTTGGAAAATGAAGAGAAGAGAGTGGTGGCAGTTACGCTTCAGGTAAAAAAAGCTCTACTTGCAGCTGTGGTACCTTAGATCAGCACCTCTCTCTCATTACGGTTGTACTGGGAGAGTGGCTATGGAGACAGCGCTTCCTAACTCATAGCGCATTCTTCTGGCATAAATAATGGAAAATATTTAATTAATGCCGGCAACTGCACTGCTGCCTACTACTTATATGCAGGTTAAAGAGGTGTGGGGAGAAAAACAGTCTCTGTTCCCCCTGCCACTTTAATGACAGGTCAGTATTAGGAGAAGAGATTACCGGTAATTAAGAACAGCAGCTACAAATTGAGTGCCTTGGAGTAACTTCCACATACCCTGTGCAGGGCAATATAATATTTCAAGTCCTGGTGTTGCCCTATGATTGACGGAATCCTAGTCCTACTTAAACCAATTACCCCCACACCTAAAACCCACTTATGAATAATACATAAAGGTTCAAATATGTTTAATGGGAGAATTATACAAGGGAGACAGTCTAGAGATATCCATAAAGCTACACAGCATTCGGTATCAAGATGTATTACTTCTTCTTAGGATGGTGATTATTTATGTTACTTCGGGTGGGAGGGGGGCTGTCCTCATCTCTAGGGAGACCAGGCTTCAGGTCGCCACATCGGATAGCCTTGACATGAGTAAATCTAGGAGTGAAAAAATGAACCTTTTTTTCGGCTGTTGAAAACATAACTAATAACTTGCACATCTAGTTATTGACAGGATGACAGCAGTTTTGCAATTAAATGGAAATAATTCACTGTGATCATCCAGTTTGTGAATTAACAATCTTCCTGATAAAATATATCATCTACCGTATATACTTGTCTATAAGTCGATCTACTCTAGTCCAACAATTGTGAAATATGCTATGACACCTGGATAAGTCGAGGGTACTGTATTCGAATGGACTTGTTCCCTTTCTGTTCGGTTACTGAACAGACTGTGGTCCTCCTAGTTAACACCTTGTAATCACTGACCACCCCTGGCTGTCAACCACAAACAAGAATTCCCTGGGTGGCTGCCATTTGTACATACGAACACACGTGTTCAATCTTGTCTCCCGAACGCAGGTAGCGGTACATGGATCTCTGAGTTGCCTACGTAAGCCCGCAAACCCCGCTGAAACTTGTACCCCTGTCCGTTCAACTTCCCGAACAGCTAGGAGAACGACGCTCGGGAGTCGAAATTCTATCGCAACTAGCACTGACCCATGGCTAAGTCGATTCTGCGTTTTAAAAGGAAGTTTAGGACTAAAATTTCTCCACTTATATGGCAATATAATTTCGAGTGACATCACAATCATTCACATAAAGAGCTATCTGGAGAAGTCAGAAATAGTATTTGGGCATAGTTTACCCCGCCAAATATTATAGCTGTAAACCTACTTTTCACTAAAGGGACACTATAGATACACAGACAACTTCCTAATGAAATGGTCTAGTTACAAAGTTCCTGTAATATAACCATGCAATGTAAAACATTGGCATTCTGCATGAACGGCAATGTTTACAATGCATGGTAAATGCCTCTAGTGGCTGTCCCCATAACGTTGAAAAACTGATCCTGTTTTGAAAGATACCTTAATAAAAGTTTGGAATTTTAAAGACCATGAAATATAATACATATATACTTTTTATAACCACCTCTCAGCTTGACAATATACAATGATACAAAAATCAAGTATGGTCTATAGAAAAGTGATTTGCTGCTCAATTTCCCTATTTAATGAGAACAGAAAAGATTTAACACATTATAAAAGGTTAAGACTTCCAAGCTGAATTGTAAGATCCTAATCTAGTCCTTGACCTAAAACACATTCCTGCAGCTAGGAACAAAGAGGTCAAATGGTGACCAAAACCTACACTTTAAATCCACACAGTCACACAATAATACAGGTTGTTGGACTTATTTCAGTTTTTTTTAATGTAAATCAATACATTACAAAAAGGTCATAGGGCAGTCCGTTATTAGTCATACTGGCACAATTTCCAGGATAAGGTAAAAATTAACTTATCAGCCCTTTAAGCTATATTATACCAACAAACCCTCTGCATCCAGCCATGCTTCATGCGGACATAGCTGAACTAGGCAGCTATAGTAAGTTAAGTGGACACACAAAGCAAATAGACTAATGCTTTAAGGGGACCCTCTTAAATTTTAGAAGAGTGGCAAAATTGCAGTAGAAAAACAAATTTTAAACAGATGCGGTACATACAACTTCCAACATTTTCACACTTATTTAATAGAGGGGGAAAATGTGTGCTGTAAGCAAGTTTAAGCAAGGCCTTCTCCTCGTCACTTACGATTCGTTTCTATGTCAATTACTAATTTTCAGATATCTGCATTCTAGAACGGGAAGTTGCGGCGAAATGTGTTGGAACTATATAAAAGATAACATGCATTTTTCTTTGTCGTTCTACACATGTACCCTCATTTATATGTTTTATCAAGTGTATGACTGGTGGAATAAAATGGGCAGGAAAACAAAAGCATGTGTTTAAGCAGTGAAAAAGTGGGTTTTGTGAAATTTGATGAAAAATTGTTAAAAACTCTAGTAACAATCACTGAATAGTGAATTTAGAATGTACCGTGGCACTTGTTCAGGTAAATATTGTCTCAAATCAGATTATGGCATTACCCTTGATAAAACAATTGCATTAGTCACTGAACAGCAGTGCTGACTAAAGAGATGGACTTTGTAAACCTACAGCTCCCATTGTTAATTCGTAATGACTCACCAGATTATGATTCAACTATCTTTTAGTCCACATGTCTTAACATGATAAATTGCCCCAGAAAACTGGTTTAAAATAAGTGTTCAATAAGGTTTGTACTGTGCAATACATTTCCTTTCCATTTCTCAATTAAAATATCCCTTTAACCCATTAAGTGCGACAATGTGCCTAACAAGTCTCACACCTTCACTTTACCCAGTTTGAAAATCAGAACATTTTAGACATATCGTGTTAGACGTACGAGCAGAACACGTTACACAAATTAGGGATCGACCAATATTGATTTTTTTTTTTAGAGCGGATACCGATAATCTGTGAATTTTCAGGCAGATAGCCGATAACTTACCAATATTCTGTACATTTACCATTTTGAAAAAAAATAAACTATTTCTAAAAGGTAAATGCACAAAATATACATGCCACATATAGTGGATGCAGTGTGCATTGTGCGTGCGTAGTGGATGCAGTGTGTATGTGCGTAGTGGATGCAGTGTGTGTTTTTTCTCTGAAAAGTCAGTGTTCACATTTAAAAGACTGCAGGGACAGGCTAGACACCAGAACCACTATATTAAGATGTAGTTGCCCTGGTGACCAATTTAAGAATTGTATTTGTCGTTGAAAATAAAAGCTGTGCAAGTTTAAAAAAATAAATAAATCTGGCTCCTAGAATCAAAGCAAATTTGTCAAGCTCTGTACTAGACTATTGTTTTATTGAGTTCTTATTTTATGCACATTAGATACGATGAATAACCATCGATATACACCAACTACACTATATCCTTAGGTGGATATTATACCGCAACGCTTTTAGATTGGAGCTTTAGAAAAGTGTAAGTGTAAATCCTATACTAATTTCCGCGCCATCAAAAGACCTACCGCACTATTAGTTCTTGTTCTCTTTTTTTGTATCGTTATTTAAGCTCCCACAGCATACCAGGACCAACTCCACAAGACTTGCCATTTTGGAGATGCTCTGATCCAGTTATCTAGCCGTCACTATTTGGCCCTTCACATGCTTATTTTCCCTGCTTCACACATGTAATTCAAGACAGGTGCCATTGAAGCTAAATAACCAAATTTTATGCATTACACGTCAGTGGTTTTAATGTTGTGGCTAATCAGTATATTTAGATTAACATCCTTGAGGATATGTTCTGCACAGAATTATGCAGGAATAAAAAATAAAAAAAAAATAAAAAATGTAAAGAGACTGAATACAATTTCAGAAAGAAAAAAAAGTCTGGGTTCATGACAGTTTGTCTTTTTTGCAGCATGATATTTAGTCATTTCCTTAACAATAGTGCAAAACAGAACGTAGTTATTTCTCAACATCAAGGTCAGGAGTTACATGTGTACACGTGCTGTGGAAGAAATCAAATGAAGGAAAAAAATTATACAATATCAAGAGCAGGCAATGAGTTTTCCAGCACACTCATATCAACATGTACATGATATATGGACTGTGATCTAGACACTTAGGTGAACACGCCAGCGGTGCTTAGCAGATGAGGAACGCAACAGCAAATCTCACCATAACAAGTGTACAAATAGCTTTTCAATGATCTAGATCAAAAGGTCCTCCAGTTGCCTGCCAGTGAATGTTACCAACATTAAACACCAAGGCCGTACATAGATTGCGGACCGGAGCAGCCACATGTAAACAGAGCTCCGTGACGCTGTTCTATCAGTCTGCTATACCCCGTCAGATTGCTATACCCCCGTCACTTCCGGTGAGGGGAATCAGCTGGATCCTGTGCTGCACATGCGTGCTAGCACTCCTGCTACTCCTCCACAGCAAGGTCCTGGAAGGTAAGTAAAACTAGTTTTACACTTTCATTATAGTTAGTGCATTCACTAAGCTTAGGACATGGGACATTTACGGCATTTACGAATCTACGGCAACACACTTATTCAGGAATGTTTATGTAAATACTTTGGTTTATATTATTGTTTATTGTTAAATGTTAACACCGTTCGGCACGTCTGAGCTGGGAAGAGGGGTGATCCATCAAACCATAGAATACTCCACACTAGGTAGAGAACACCAACCCCACAAACCACCGTGATAGTGTGCTCTTTCAACGTCAGAGGCCTTAACACCCCGGTAAAGACGCACCTGCTCGCCAGGAAGGTTAGAACCCTGGGAGCGGATGTACTATGCCTCCAGGAAATGCATTTCAGGCATAATGACCACCCCACAATACTGACAAATAACTACACTCACCAATTCCACGCCACATCTCCTACAAAGACTAGGGGAGTCTCTATCCTAGACAGTAAAGCGGTCTCGTTTACGCTCCACTCCACAGATATTGACCCCAACGGCAGGTACATCATCCTCATAGGGAAACTTAACGATATGCTATACACCATTGTAAATATATATTCCCCCAAATACCAACCAGAGAAACTTCCTACACAAAATACTAAACAAAACAAACACTGCCCAAATGGGCATCACGGTGATAGGGGGTGACTTCAACGACATACTGGACCCGCAGCTAGACACGACCCTATCACCACAAGGGAAAAACCATCGCCCCCTCACTAGGCAATGCATAGCCATAGCAAAACTCCTGCATGAGCACCACCTATATGATGCTTGGAGAGTCACACACCCAACAGAAAGAGCATACACACACACACACACTTCTCGGCGGTGCACAACTCTAAAATAGACGGTTTCTTTATGTCAGGTACAACACTAGACCAAATCGTAACTAGTGAAATAAAGCAAATTACATGGTTCGACCCGTAACCATAGAACTCAAGAACAATTTCGACTTTAAACATCGTAGCCCCTGGAAAATAAACAACTCATTGCTGAGGGATGAGAGATTCGTAGAGTCATTGGCAGGAGACCTCCGCACATATTTCCAACTAAATGACACTAAAGACACCACAGATGCTACTCTGTAGCTTGCACACAAAACAGTAACGAGAGGCCTACTAATACGCAGAGCATCATACGTAAAAAAGAAACGACAAACAAAGCTTGGGGCCTGGCAGACAATTGTACGAGTTGAACAGAATGAACCAAATCACACAGACACTAGAGACAAAACTGAAAATAGCCCAGGTCACCAAACTCATACACCAACAAGCACTGGATGCTCTCAACTTTAACATGCAAAGGCTCAAACTAACCCACTATGTGTAAGGCAATAAGGCAAGCAAGCTACTAGCAAACCGACTGAAAACTAGACAAACAAACCAAAAAAATATCCTACCTCACAGACCAGACAGGGGCCAAAGTCTTCACCCCTAAGGGAATCAGCGATGTGTTCGCCACATACTACTCCTCCCTATATAACATACGAGACGACACGCAAACAACACACCCCACCAACCTCAGTATTAAGAATTACCTAAACGAGGTGACACTACCTAAGATCTCAGCACAACATAAAGAGGCTCTCACTAAACCGATAGAGGAACAGGAGATCAGAGACTTGATTAAAAACCTCCCAACAGGGAAATCCCCGGGGCCCGACGGATTTGACAACCAATATTACAAAAAAATGTAGCGACATACTAGCGCCTTACCTGGCTAGACTGTTTACAGAGACAGCCTTAAGGGGGGAACTCCCCATATATTAATAGCTGCAAACCTCCTGATTGCCAGAAGCTGGAAACAGATAGACCCAATTTAGTACAACAGATATCACTAAATCTGTCATATGAGACAAGTAAAAGATGAAAGCGCAGAGGCAGGCACTATCAACACAAAGACAGGGACGAGGCAAACAAGGCCACCTAAACTAAACCAACCCCCAAATAGGCCTCAGGGAATAGTGGAAAAAGAACATACATAATTCTAGAGAGTAAGGTGCAACATTCCTACCCTCCTCCCCCCCACCCCTGACACAAGCCATCCTCGCCCAGTTCCCCTCTTCCGCTCAACTAAGGCAACTAAACGAAGGGTAGAACCAAAAGTCAAAGATAAACACCAAAGGAGAGCACAATAAGATCTACCGAACACACGCAGTGCTCACTCCGACTGAGAACAAGGGGAAATAGCTTACTGGTATGCTATTGCTAATGATACTGTTATTGATATACTACAGATGCCTACTCCCCCCTTTTTTTCCCTTTCTGTATTCCCAGTTTTATCATTCGAAAAGGTACAATAAAAATTGTCAAAAAAAAAAAAAAAATTCTATCTGCAGCATGAAGAATTGTGATACCAAAGGCTTAAATTTCCCAAATATTTTGTGTAGGTCCTAGTATTTAACATAAAATATTCACCCTGACTTGTGAAAACAAGAGCAGAATCTGAAGCCATGCTTTCTGGCAAATGCAAGAATGTGTATAGCACCTACAACACAGGTCTTAAAGCTTGGATTTATCACATACAAGATAGATTACACTACAGATACAGCAGCCACCAACCTGTGGCTTTGAAGTGTAAAAAAAAAAAAAAGATTTTATTTTATTTTATTTTTTTAAAAGTCGCCTCTTCAGAGATTGATGAGGATGACCACTGGAGTCTTTCCACTATCCAATTGCCTCAGAATAACAAGATATTTCATTAAATCAAACTTCCACCTGTGAGATTTTATAGTTAGATCAAGAATTTGCACTGGATGATTAAACACAACCCTATGAAATATTATTAATAAAGCAAACATTTGTGTGTGTTTCCAGAAAGAAATACAAAAAGTAAACAGTTCCCAATGAAACAAAATGGATCACTATACAGAAAATAAAAATGAACCACAAACTCACATATCCTGAATAAGGTAGCTAAGTATTGCAGCCACCACACTGTAGAAACAAAAAGCAATCATTAAACGTAATTTGCTAGTGTGGCATTTTGCACATTGCAGACAATTAAGTGCTAACCAACTCCTGTTTTCATTAAAACCACAACAGTGGTTAATCAAATAATCACCACCTGCATGATAAACCCGTACATATGACTTTTTACATGTTACATGTTTCTTGGTTAAAAAACAAAACCACTAACAGCACAACTTTGTTTCATCTGCTGTAAATAAGCAAATGTTAACCAGGAAGGTGTAAATCTTTGAAGACGTTTCGCCTTAAAAGGTAAAGATGAAAAATGTATACATTTAGGGTGCATCTTGACAAGTTTGCAGTATATACACGAATTACAATGCAAACAGTAAATGTCAGGCCTATTCATTACTGACTGCAAATCACCCAGTTATATTTTTAGAACACCTGGCTCTGCCTCTGCTTCAATAAATCACAACGAAAGGGCCCTGCTGTATGAAGTTTGAGGCTCAAAAGTGTTTAAGCGGCTAAAATTGTAAGCGATCAATTCATAGCGCTTTGCAAACTGCTAAACTGAGGCATATCTTCAATAAAACCAAAATAAGCAGCATTTCAGATGTAGGTTTAACAAAAAAAAAAAAAAACACGGATATTTACAGGGCTGGTTAGACTGGCTAACAATTGCAAGTAAACATTTATTTAGTTAGGAGTGCTCTTACATGGGGATTGACTAATGTTTATGTAATTTAAAGTGACACTCCAGCCTGCAGTTTTTTTTGTTGTTTGTTTTTTAAATGGAACAGTCTCATGTGTGCAACCAGATAGCTAATACAAGTTGGATATTTGTTCTGCAAAAAAAAATTATATAAAATGAAAAATAGAAGTAATTTTAACACTTTACGCAACGTGCCAGACATGAGGTACAACATGAAAATTAGATTAATCCCTGGACATCACTAAAAGTGTAACAAGTATGCATTCCTTTTTTTATATTAAATGAACACTATAGTGTTAGTAGTACAAAGCTTTCCTAGTCAATAGAATACACACTCGCAATTCACAATTTATACATTTTTACTGACATAGGTTACGGACACTCTCAGCCCATGACCGATCTAAAAACGTACACAAAATGGCCATAGGTAAAGTGAAATCTAGTTCAGCTTTACAGAGTAGACCAGAAGCATAAGAGATGTTCAATGGTTTGAACACAGCCATTACAGCAGTCTACAGTGCTTTATAAAGTATACAGACATCCTATTTCTGCACACCAAATTTAAAAATTATGATAATTCAACTCTAAATACAAGACAAAAGGCATCATAGAAAAACACAGTTTAGTAAAAAAAAAACCACTTAAGCAACCAAGACTGCTATAAGTATCTTCAGCTATAGAAGCCAAGTACTAGTGTATTTTATACACCTTTTTACACAATTTATGAGTGCTGAAAGAGTTTAATATACTAGTGTGTATCTCAATAACCCTAGTAAGGCCACAGAGCTGGTAGAAGGGTATCAACAAAGCACAAACACTTCCACTTATAGAGAGAAGGGAGGGTAAGAGAGGAAAAAAAAATAAAAAAATAAAAATCATGCTTCACAAGTCATGACACCATATTCCTCAATTACCCTTACTCATATCCTCCCTGTCACTGCAAGCTGTGCCTAACACAGCTAAAACCAGCAGCAGCTCCCACATACAATTAGCAACTCCCTTCAAGGGCATTTCCCCTCTGCACTCCTTTCACAAAAAAAGGAACATTCTTTGTTTCTCATTATAATGCAGTATGGAGGTATTACTGAACACCAGGTCCTCAGTTTACATTCTGTGATTGCCATATACTGTGCTATATGGGGCATTACAACAGAAATCACTTTTTATGCCTTGCACAAGTGTATTGTTGTGGTGAGGCTTCTCTATCCATTTTTAAAGAATAAAGTGTCTTGACTGCAACAGTTTTAGCAAAAACAAAAAAAAAATAAAACAAAACAATGCCAATTTTTATTAAAAGTTTTCACATGAATTCAGTAACACTGTTACGGTCAATGACACCATTACGGCTTTGCCTTACATAAAGTCAGTTTATATATTGGGGTGTATAAAGTGTCAGAGGACATCGACAAAAACTGGGAATGGTCCAGGAGAGATCTGCAAGATATCTTTTCCAGACTAAGATTGCCTGAAAAAGTCATCACAGATCCTTCTGGATTATTCCCAATCTTGCATTTTTAAAAGATGCACAAAAGGTAGCAAGTTAAGAGAGAATGTAACTTCTACTCATGATACAGAAACAGATGTACATTAACTGCCTATTTTTAGGGCCAAAAAAAAAAAAAAAAAAAAGGAACATCATACTGCAGGACATGATATGAATGCAGGAAAGCAGTGAGCAAATTGCAAAAAATCCCTGGAAAGAAAGAAGCTTAACATATTAGCAATAAAATAAATGCCAAATCCTTGTTTATATTTGTATATAAACCAAAAAAAAAAAATCCAAAAAAAAGGTTCTGTTTTAAGCATAAAAATATAAGTTAAAAATAGTTCAACCATCAGAGATTTGTGTTTGTAGTAAAGACCTTTTACTGTACTTTCAAAAAAATACTAGGACCAATGTGGTAGGCATTACCTCTCCACACCAGCAGATGGAAGCATTACACAGGAATTCTAAAACTTCACCTTTAAGAAAACTAAAATAAATAAATGAAGTATACACTAAAGGGATAATGCAAAATTACAAATTAAGAAAGTCAAAAAGCAGAATTGAGTCAAAATCTGTTGAAATTGCCATTGCTGTACTATCCTCAATATATATAAAAAAAAAAAACAACAAACAAACAAAAAAAAAACCCACAAAACTATTGTAGTTGGTCATCTATTAGATTTTATGGTTTACATTCTTCAAAATTATAATCTTTGGAAAATTAAAAGCTGAAGAAAAATAAAGTCCCAACATTTTAGTTTTTAGAATTAGGTGAAGAGTTTGCATTTTCTCTTCCTCTGAATACAGATCCTGTAAAGCCTATGAATGCCATCAATAATTTATTTATGACTGCACAGAAGTTGGCAAGAAAACTGCAACAGCCCAAAGTATGAGGTTTCAAAATGGAGGCATATCAAACAGAACAATGTAAACTTGCTTACTTTAACAATACATTTGTTTTTTGTAACACTGCTGTATTTTAAGAATAAAGGGTTAATAAATCATCTTTTACTCCTCTTCAAGCACAGGGGCTATTATCAAATATATCATTTGCATCAGTGCCATCAATGAACTGCAACTACCCAAATTCTGTCTACTGAATGTATTTGGTGGACCTCTAATTAAATGGGAAGTTACAAATACAGTAAAATGGGGATTGTTCAAGGATAAAAGGCCTGCTTTATTTGCATTTGGTAAAATCATTCCATGGCATTAAGACAATGTACCAAAAAAAAAAATCAAAAAAAAAAATCTGCATTTCTGTGTGTTTCGAATTTGGATATCTGCTTAGCACTTGTGGCACAAATTTGTAAATCTCAGATTATATACTGTATTGGAAAACTATTGAAAAATTACTACAATACAATATACCTGTATTGTTTAACGTAATTCACTCAGTGACCCATTCAAGTGTATCTTTTCCATAACATAAGTAAAACCTCTACGGGACTCAATGCTAACCGAGGAAATGAATGTACCTCTAAATCCTGTGCTGGTGTTAAGAGCCACTGATTGGTTTTAAGTGCCTCTTTATATATGTATATGTTACAGAAAGACCTATTGTGTAAGATACTATGAACTAAATCCATAAGAATGAGGATAACTTCCTGACTAAAGTATATGGAGGGTTTTCGTTTAAACATTCATGAAAAGTTGGAAATGCTTGAGGATAGATTTCTCGCACCACAATAAGCCCCATTTATTCCTCATTACATCACTCATACCAAAGCCTCTGAAATACTTGAACCAAACACATTTGTGAAGGCATTTAGGCATGGCCTAAATGGCTGTAAATATTTTTAAGATCAATAGAGAGATCATAAAACTGAAAATACTGCATTTTAAGTACACATTCCTTTTTCAAATGTCACTCAGAAAACAAAATATGTTCCATTGCTATACTGAAGAAACCAATAAAAAACAAAACTCAGTTCTGCTCAAAATGTCTGCATCATGGGGCAATCATAATCACAAAAAGCCCATGTAGTGGTTTTTATGGAGTCACCCCCTCATTCTGGATAAAGCGATTTAAGCGGTTAGGATCAAATCTGCTGGTCTCCAATGCATGTTTGGGACCTTAGTATGTCAAAACACTTTAAAATGGATCGAACTAGAAAAATAAAAATTATTCCCGAAGCCTAAAAGAATCAGAATCACTGCATAGTCATGTATAAAAGAAACTGAAATAATTGGAGAAATCTAAAAAATTAGGACCAAGCCCAACTTTATTTTTGAATAATGGAGCACTGAACACTAATCACTGAAGTTCATGGTTGTTAAGTTATATACAAGCAGGGCACACTTGTTAAAGGATCACTATAGTGTCAGGAAAACAAATCTGTTTTCCTGACACTATAGTACCCTGAGGGTGCCCCCACCCTCAGGGTCCCCCTCCCTTCAGTTACTCACCTTATTCCACCGCCGGGCTCCCTTACCTCTCCTCCCCCCGCCTAACGTCAGCGGAGCGCGCATTCAAAGTGTCCATAGGAAAGTATTTCTCAATGCTCTCCTACGTACGCTCTGCGTTTTGGAGGCATAATATGCCTCCAGCGTCACATATGCGCCAGCCCGGAAGACAGCCACTAGAGGCTGGATTAACCCCAAATGTAAACATAGTAGTTTCTCTGAAACTGCTATGTTTACAGCAGGCAGGGTTAACCCTAGAGGAAACTGGCACCCAGACCACTTCATTGAGCTGAAGTGGTCTGGATGACTATAGTGTCCCTTTAATATTTTCAAGAGTCCTCCAACCTGCCTGCTAGGCTTTGTATAAGAGCATAAGTTTAAAAAATAAGATTTTTTTTGAAGAGGAAGTGCCAGTTCCTTGTTTCCACTTCAAAGTAAATGGGTAATGTAAGTAAAATAGACACTTACCTCTGCAGCACTATCACATTGAAGGCAACTTCCCTAACCCATGACAACTTGAGTGCCGTGGTCATGTGCAAAGAAATGCCATATGATAGCTAACATTCAGTTCGATATTTCGTTGAGAAAAACTCACAAGTGAGCTTGACTTTAAGGCAGGGCTGGCTGTCCACCCTGCCCCCCTCCCCCCCCACCCCAAATGTTGCTGAACTACAACTCCCATGATTCCCTGGCCATTTCATTTAAAGAATCATGGGGGTTGTAGTTCAGCAACATCTGGGGGGGCCGCAGGTTGGACAGGCCTGCTTTAAAAAGGTACTCTAAACCAAGTGAAACAATATAAACTATTCATAATAGCAGATATTTAGAGAATACATTAACTGGCATAATTGCTCAAAATTAAACGTTTTTTCAGTTTTCTTCATACAGCTCCAAGTTCTCTCCTTAGCTTTTCCAAGATCGTAACACAAGTATAATGCTCTACTGATTCCACAGGAAATGAACTTTTAAAAAGGTAAACATTTTTCTGGACAAAAATGATAAAAATTTAATCTATGTTAGGTCGTACAGCTCTGAACACCCCTGAACCTGCTTACATGTCTTAGGAAGTTATTTTCTCACGAATAAGTAACATGACAGCATGTCTTTACATTGAACAATCAAAATATATTTTACATTCATAATATACTTCATCCCCCATACTAATCTAAACAGATACATGTACAATCACTGTTTGTAATAACTTCTAGAAGGATGACCTCATCCTAGTGTAGACCGCTGCAGAACTGTTACTATATAAATAAAATCATAATAAGCCTGACCAAAAATATGTGATCCTAGTTTCTGCCTTAATTACCTGTTGCTTGCAGCCAAATGGATGTGTCACATGAGTCCACAAATCAAAACACAGATCACGAGTTTCTCCAGTGAGACACTACTAGAAGTCTGTGTTATACACACACACACACCTAACAGTTGAGAGTTAATCCAAGTCATACAAAATATGCTTCCCCTCCCTGCAAATTCTATTGAAAGAGATGTCGGATTATTTACTAAACTAGTAGTATGTTCAAGGGAATTGCAACCTTTAACACTCCTCAAACCCACTTTTGCACTTCCAGTTCACAAAACTGCGATGGGGGCGTGACACTGAACAGCATGAAAAAAACAAAAAACAAAAAAAAAACCCACCCACACCACAGCCTCTAGATCAGTGATCCCCAACCCAGTCATCAGGGACCACCAACAGTCCAGGTTTTCTCAGTATCTCCATTGGAATAAAACAGGGAAATACATAAATCCTGGACTGTTGGTGGTGCCTGAGGACTGGGTTGGGGAACACTGCTTAGATCAACCAACCTAACCTTTTCAATGCTTTATAACAGGCTTCCCCAAACTGGCACTCCAGATGTTGCTGAACTGCAACCTCCATGATTCTCAACCTATTTCATTCATATAATCATGGGAGTTGTAGTTCAGAAACATCTAGAGGGCTGGAGTTTGGGGAAGGCTGCTTTATAAGGTTCCAAGTGGCCAAGTTCGGTTTTAATTTTGTGAATAGTTGGCCAATGCGGCCAGCAGGTCCCTGCTAAACATTGACGAATAATCAGAGAACTCTGTTTTAGAATTAGCACCTATGTTAGAAAAGAGACTGCAGTAGCCCAATAATTATGCAAAACGACATACAGGTATATAAATCTGTATGTTTGAAGTGCTAGGTTGCTCTAGTAATAGAACTGGAAGGGGGCTTAAAAGGGACACTATAGTAACCAGAACTACAGCTTAATGTAGTAGTTTTGGTGATTAAAGTCAGTCCCTGCAGGCATTTTGCTGTAAACAATCTTTTTAGAGAAAAGGCAGTGTTTACATTGCTGCCTAGGGACACTTCCAGTGGCAGACACTCAGATTGCCACTAGAAGTGCTTCCTGGGTGTGCAGCACTGACTTCCATCTCCACGCTCTGCAAGGCAATGCTGAACTTTCCCCACAGAGATGCATTGATTCACACCTCTTTTGTCCTCTGCACCTGACAGCACTGTCTCTACCAGGCAGTTCTCTGCCACAGTGTAACACCCCTTTAATGAATAGCTTCCCATTCAAGTTGTGACTCAGATATACTATACTTCCACCTAAGTGTAGATGTGAAACGCACAAAGAGCCCTCTTAGGCATTTCTCTAACAACCTCCTTTTTTCTCCCCCTTTCCAGCAGGCACAGGGTTCTATTTTGGAATGGGTTTTTACCTATAAATAAGGTTTACCTGCTATTTTGAGGTTATGCTATACTTCATGAACTAAAGATGCAACAATTAAAATTCTTTTCTTCGTGTGTGTTCTCACCCTTTGGATCGGGGTTATTGCACTAACATACTTTAAAGGGTTTAAATGCTAGTTAAATGATCTATAAATTACCAAACCTGCCTCAACATATTAAATTGTTTAGAGTTTCTTTCTTTCTACAGATATATATATATATATATATATATATATATATACATACACACACGAGTGGATGTAAAGCACCCTTCTTGTATTGGCTTATTTATTCATTATAACTCATGCTCTGATCGCTGTTTTGCATAGGATTATACGTCAATTTAATAGTGATGGGTTAGATAAGCAGTGAAAAGTTCATGCATTAAGTTCCTCTCCCTGTGAGATATTCCAGGTATTACTTAATCATTACCAATTCACACTTTCTTTAAGTGATTATCCCAACAAAATATCAATGGTGATACCGATAGAGGTATTTGTTTCCATTCTGTTTCTTGTTTTTGTTTTGGCAACATGCATTACCTTCTGGCACTTAAATCAATTGTCCGTTTTATGAATTGAACTCCCATTTCTCCAAGGTTGGATGGTGGGTTTATTATGTTTATATAGCGCCCAAAAATTCCACAGTGCTTTACAGTGGGTGAACGAACAGACATGTAGTTGTAATGAGACAAGTTGGACACACAGGAACAGAGGGCTTATGGGCCCTGCTCAATGAGCTTACATGCTAGAGGGAGTGGGGTAAAATGACACAAAAGGTAAGGATAGTATTAGACTAATGACAGTTGCAAGAGAGGAATCATTCAGGAGCTATTAACAGTTTAATTGGTATGCTTTTATGAAGAAGTGGGTAATTATTTTTTTTAAGGAGTGGAGACTGGGTGAGCATGTAACGGAGAATGGAAGAGAGTTCCACAGAAACGGGGCAGACCTGGAGAAGTCTTGAAGGCGAGCATCAGAGGTGGGAGTACGGACAGAAGATAGACGTAAGTCTTCAGCAAAGTGTAAGGGCCTAGACGGGACATACTTGTGTATTAGGCATGATAGATAGATGGGAGCAGAATTATGTAAAGATTTGAAAGCAAGAACCAGAATTTTAAATTGAGCCCTATATCATACAGGAAGCCAATGTAGTGACTGACAGAAGGGTGAGGCGTGGGAGGTGCGGGCGGACAGGAAGATGAGCCTCACCGCCGCATTCATTATAGACTGTAAGTGCAAGTTGGGAGCACGTAAGACCACTGAGAAGCGGATTACAGTAGTCAAGGAGAGCAAGGACAGTGGAATGGACCAGAACCTTAGTCGCATCTGGCATTAAGTAGGGTCGGATGCGCGCAATGTTTGAGATGGAAGCGACAGGATTTGGCGATAGAACTGAACATGAGGCGTGAAGGAGAGGTCGGATTATGTAAATATCTATCTTAAAGATACCCATTTGGCTCTATTAACTATATGAGGTCACATTAATATAAATATTGAATATATCTTCATGCTAAGTGAAAGAATATAGTATAATTGTTTACCAAGTCTTCCAAGAAGGTGACGGGTCTCATTTCCTTAGGCTAAGTACCATTTCACAAACCAAAAACATTTAATCTGTCCAAACTTACAAATAAACCTCCATGTTGTGTCCAGTCAGAGAAAAAAAAAACAACAAAAAAAACACAATTTATATGAAGGGTATCCATCATACAGAGTAGGCATATATTAATTTTAGCCACTCCATGCACAGATTAATACTTTGCATAAAATTACTCATCAGTTCAATAGGGGTGGTTAACTAAGCATTGAAAATTTCCTTCATGAAAACATGAACAAAGTCCCTCTTCCTGCGGGATGCTCCAGTTAATTACTTAATCGTTCTCTATTCACATTTAATAAATAGCGAGCATTGTATAACTAAGATTTTACCTTAACAGTATATCTGAAATTAAGTATCATAGGGGCGTCTTTAATGTTTGGTTTTAGTAACTAGAAGAGACCCACCTTATCCTTGACACCATATTGGATCTTTTATGTACCTAGTAAAGGAATACAGGTCTCATGTTTCCTTGGGCCAAGTATCATTTCCCAAACTTTGCATTTAAAATGTAAAACATTCCCAATAAACATCATTATGTTGAACAAATCAAACAGCTTTATGTTTAATCTAGAATAAAATATTTATATGAGAAGCCTTCATTTAGGCCTGCTGGACCTACAGGTTTTCAAAAGGTAGAGCAAACACACTCTCTGCCTTAATCTAGATCTCCTTTTTCTGTCCTAAATCTTCTTAGGTGTTCATTAAGTTTTAAATGGACAAAACATTTTTCCAACTTATTTTTTGTCTACAACTACAAGTTAGATGGTCAACTCCACTCGTTCTGCAATTAAAAAAAGAGGCTTTAACTGGAAATGTAATTTTATTTTATTTTTTACACGTATATAGTTGCATGCAACACATCTTCCGCATTGATATTGGACTGTGAATGTCTTTTCTATGGTTGAATGACTAGGGACCAAGAGGTCACGTTTTCACAACTGTCCAGCTTGGACCAGCATGGGGAGGCCTGCACTCTAACAAGCAGAAAAGCCCTATTCATTTCTTTTAGTTCTAACTTGCTTCTTCTGCCCAAATCCATGAGTAGTTTTTGGTAAAGTCCAAGAAGACCTTACCTGCTAAAAAAATATTCCACCATAGTGCTGCAGACTGACATGTTTTGGTGCTTAAACCAACTTTTCTAGGAAAATTGAATATACCGGCACTTCTTGAAACTGACTGCAGAGTCCCTTTTTGTATCAGGTTTTTTTTACTCACCACAAAATTACTTTGCTAAATGAATCACCTTATTATTTCTCCTCCATTCCTTCCTTTTAAAAGGGATAAATATGGCGCTCCCACTGAGATAAGTGGTGATGTAAAATTCACAACAGGGCAGCAACTGGACTGCCATGATCTATAACTCTGCATTTTGTAGCACAATAACCAGCTGTTAACAAATGTAGATGTGTGTTTGACAAGCAAAACATGCCTGTCACAATACATTAAAAAAAAAACTAAAGCATGTCTGAAACTTAACACCAACTTTGTTCAGAAAGGTGTCTGTACCCTATTTTCCCTTGTTCCTGACAGAAACCAACCATCATAATAAGTTATCAGGCTCATTTTTTACCCGTAAATTCAGGAAGCGTCGGACAGAAAATGTCTAGAATTCGAAGGGATCCCATATTTCATGTTACCTGAAAATTCTAAACAAAATAAAACCTTAAAAATGGGAGACCACTACCTACCTGACTTGGGGAAAAAAATGACCATTCATACAGGAAAGGTAGATCTTGATAACGTGGTTTTTTTTATACTGAAAAATGCTTTTATTGCTGTTAATCACAATTATGAGGGAGCTTGTCACTGTATCTAGTGTGTATAAAATAAACTATTTAACAAAAAAATGGAATAAAATGTTTGACATTCAAGGAGCAAGCAGTGCTTAATCACTGTGGCAACTAGTATTTCATCATTTACTACTACAGGAAAGAATTAGATTCTTATCCTGTCTGTAGGATGTGAAGCCTATTCAAATGAAAATATCGGGAATGACAAGAAAATATACTCCAGGGGCATTTAAAAGGGACTATGTTCACCAATAAAGATTTACAAAAAGTAATTTGAAAAATATATTGCATCCCATTTAAAAAATACTAATATATATAAATATATATAATAAAATACTAATATATAATATATATAATAAAATACACATATATACACACACACACACACACACACACACACATATATATATATATATATATATATACACATACATACATACATACACACACATATATACACACACACAGAATTTTTATTTAAAATAGGATGCAATATATAATTTTTTTAATTCATTCTCTTTGACAAACACACACACACTGTTTTCCCCTGAAGTAAACAGGTTTGTCTTGAAAACAGAAGGACCTCTATTAAAAAAAATAAAAAAAATAAAAAAAAACACCTTGGAAAATAGAGTTTTTAATTCATGAAACAGACAATGGGTTTAAACACCAGAAGGCAATGCATGTTACCGAAACAAAAACATACTGGAAAAAAAACCCCTTTAGGCAGCAGCACAAAAGCAGTGTCAGGTCTACCGTTTCCATATATTTTCCCACTGGCAACCAAGAGGGCATTACAGAACAGAGAAACCACAATAAAGAGATTAAAATCTAAGAATTGAATCATTCTTTCCTGCACCACATTTATCCTGAAGATACGGAAATTAAAATATCCAACAAAGATACATTTGAGGGAAAATGTGGTATCCCGCAAAGTAAAAATGTACTCCAATTATTACCGTGATAAACCCAAATGAAAATGATAGCCATCTTATAACAACGCAAAACAATTTAAATTGCTAAAGAGTCATAATATATTTGTGGGTTAAATTGGGAACGATTGCTATGATTGCCAATAACCCCAAATAAACCTCTAGTCTTGGAATTTAATGAAATAAAAGAGCTCCCAGTGATGGACTCTTTTTGTGCAAGATGCAAATTGTTTGTAAATACTTACATCTACCTCACATTTATTCTGTTTCTGAATAAAATTGATGCTTCTCTAAAATCTTGTCAACTAATACTGTTGACTTATTTTCTCATCATGCATTTCTCAATTCATACCATTGGGAAATATAAAATAAGCAAATGAAAACCAATGTGACTAAACACAATGGCCAGTCAAATTATAACAGAAAAGGGCATTCAAAACATTTAAATCAGAGGGGTCGATTATGTATACACACACACACGCAATTTCTTTTTATTGCCAAAAAGTTAAGAGTAAAAGTGCTAGTCCACTAGAGACTGAGACAAGCGAGTTAATCAAGGAGGATTAACAAGACAGAAATTGTAAATTTTTCTCAGCATACATGGAAGAAAAGTCCATGGCTGTAGATTGGCAAATCCCGGTTATAAAAGTATTACAGCAAACAAGCAATTCGTTAACATCTAATAAAGATTGTTATTCACCCACGTGCACTTGGGCAGCTTAGTGTAGCTCCACAGTTTTAAATTTTTCAGAATTTTCATTCAGGAATTCTACCAGAGGATTAGAGAAAAGAAGAAGAAGATGTGGTGACTATTTAAAAATTAACCCCCCTCTCCCCCCCAAAAAAACAAACAAAAAAAAAAAAAGGTTCAAAATCTGAACCTGGAAAATATAGACTTGTGAGCTTAGCATCTGTGGTTGGATTGATAAGGGCTTAATATTCAAATATTAATTTTGAACAAGATCATTCGCAGGAATAAACATGGCTTTACAAAAGACATGCCAAACTGACGTTATATGAACAAGTTAGAATAAATATTGATCATGGCAATCCAGTAGATGTGATCTACTTGGATTTTGCCAAGGCATTTGATAAAGTTTCACGAAATACTGAAATCAGTTGGTTTAGATGAAAAACTGTTCTTGAAAACACTGGGTTAAGCATAGAGTGCGGAGAGTAGTTTTAAATGGAAACTTTTCAAATTGGACAGTGATAAGTGATAAGTGAAGAGATTCAGTGTTCTGTCCTGGTTCCACTTCTGCTTAATTTGTTTATAAATAACCTTGAAGGTATTTGCAGGCTAGTGGCAGAAGAGATTTTTTGTGGCATAATTGGAAATGGCTTCTTTTGGATTAACAGCATAAAAGAATGGGCTTGGGAGTTGAACTACCTATAGACCACTATGTAACAACCTACGCAACCTTCTTAAGACTGATTCCACTGCTGGAAACAGAGTGGAGCACTGTATTTTGGTCTTGGGGACAAAAGTTTATCAAATTGTTAACATGTACAAATATATTAACCCTTACAGTAAACTTGGATGGGTTATCTGCTCTCACTTTCAAATAGACTACAAAAGGAAAACAACTACCATAGTGGGAGATTTTTATTTTCTCCATGCACATATCGTTTACACCTTTTTAAAACATGAAATGCATATAAAATCTTCAAATTGCAACGCCTTTCGTAGATTCAGTAAAAGTCAGTACTTCTGGCGAATGCATCCATATGTATTTATTCCTGCTTATGAACTGGCTTCCATCTCTCCAGACGCAAAGGGATAAGTTACATAGCAACCTTAATGGTTATGCTTAAAATAAAAACTTCCCAGGAGGAAGCAAAACACACACAAAGTCTATGTCAATGTATCTGCTACTAGCAAGATGTTTTCTTCATTAAAAGAAAAATCATTTATGTCGAACTAAAAATATAAACCTGTGCCAAGTATTGTTGAATGCCACATTATGAGAAATTTATAATAAAAAGTCCAAACTAGTAATTTATTTTGTTAAAAAGGTTGGACTTTTTTTTCTAGTAAAAAAATTAAATATGTGGATTCTAATATTTACGTTGAAGCCCAATGGGAAACTTGATTTAGTTGGGAATTCCCTCTGGTCTTGTAGATTCCACTGAACAGGCTGAATGCAAATGATGGCAATTATCTATTTACAGGAAGTTCACAGATTATCCCTGCTCGAAGCAAAAAGGCTTGTTAAAATAGGTGGAAAGTTTTACCTAGAAGCACCACATGCGGTGGTTTGGTCCACAGCAGCTAGCCATAATAAGGATCGTAAATGTACCAGGTTAATACATGTATTCATATCTCTTAATTGCCACATTCTGAAAAAAAGCTAATTTACAAAGACCTCCTTTAATCACCATGACTACTTCAGTGATTTGAAGTTATCATAGCGCATAGAGTCTATATCTGCAGGTGTTTTGCTATGAAACGCTGCACCTATGGAGTTTAACCTCTTTGCTGCCAGATGTGTAACTCCACCAATGGTAGCACCATTAACCAGCCCATAGCAAGAGTTCCTGACTGGCTATGGTCAATTATAGGCATATTTTATGCGCAGCTGCTCATTCATTGGCTGAGAGCATCCAGTTGACCCTCTTAGTCAATGAATGAGCAGCAGGATCAGTATCCGGCTTCAGCAACTCTGCATAAGTCAGATGTCATTAACCTGCCTTCAGAGACCAGGTGCCCGGTGGAGTCCCGGGCAGGAAAACAAACCACTGCTAAATTGCTTACCTCGTCACTGGGGAACATAACCAAGGTACCCCTTCCGTGGCTGTGATGCTTGGAGTAACCATTTAATTGACTGATAAATGTAGGAACTATTAGCTATTCTTATGGTTTAAATTTTCCTGGTTGCAAATGTCTAAAAAGTTCCTAAACTGTGTCCTATGCAACTTTGATGTTGTTCCAAATATAAATGGGAAGAAAAATAAATGAAAATTACAAAGCCAAAATTAAAAAATATCCAAACCTCAGATTTAGAAATTATTGTGGTTTGTGTAAAAAACAAAAAAACACCAAAACAAAACTGTAGATAGGTAGGATACAAACCGATGTTCCTTTATTTAAAAAAAACTTTTACATTTTATATGCACACATTTTAAATACACACAAAACTTACACTGCCCATGCAAAAAACACATTATGTACTGTAGGTGATTACATTTTAACTTTTACAAGAAAACCGCCCAATGAAAATTTCTCCACAAAAATAAAAAAATAAAACTCAATACAAGATATAAAATATGCGAGACACACACACCCACACCAGCCAGTTTCAAGGAAGCCATGTGATCATCCAATGCATTTGCAGTTTAGAGTAAAATGAGTAAAGCGCATCTTATGTACCACAACCAAAATTTGATAACAGCTTCACACAGCATATTAAAACAAAAAAATTTGGCATTCTGCCTAACTGCAAAAACAACCGCTTGTGAATTAAGCGTTCAGACTCCTGATATTTTGCACGTCCTGAGTAAAATTCTGTGAATTTCTTCAAAATTCATGTATTTAACGGTTATAGAGGACCTTTTCAAGAAGGGAAATTAATCTTACCTTTCTGAATTCCTGGTTTTCTCTTTGGGCCTTAGAATAAGTTGCTAACACAGTCGACGTTCACATAGTGTTAATCCCACTTATTTCATTTACGATATTCCCTGCTCCCTTGACTGCTCTAATCCAATTCCAGTTCTTCCAAAGCAAAATAGCAATACTGTAGATCTAAAAAGACTAGAGAAAAAAAAAAAGTTGTACACAATTAGAAATGCAGCTCCCTACACAGATACCCCAGATGTCAAGGTTTAAAGGATTGGCAATTGAGGTTTCTGGACCAAAAGATGAATAGTCAGTCAATGGATAACTTTAACTTCGATGAGTGGCCAATGTGCCATAAAATGTGAGCAATGAGAGAGATGTTCATCCAAGTGGTGAAAGCACAAAACCGAATGTAATTTAAACTTCAAAACTCTGCTTGTGAATGGATAAAGGACACAGCTCATCCTGGTTCCTGGAAATAATTTTAAAAAATAAAAATATAAAGGAAAAAACAAAAAACAAAAAAAACCCCTTCTAATGGAAAATATATTTAGACTGCAATTTCCCCTTACTGCCCTGTAAGTGGTAAGAATGCAGTGGGTAAGTGAATATATTTTTAATTTTATTTTATAAATACAAATTTTAGATGAAAAAGGAATGCAAAGCTATATGCTGTAACCATGCCAACAGCATGGAGGAATTTAAAGTTTGCAAATAGGGTATTTAAAAGTTTGTCAAACT